TTAATATTTATTCTTCTGAGTTTTTTGTATATCTGCCTATGAAACAAAACATGTTAGTTTGAAAACTGAGAAAAACGCATCGGTGAATACATGAAAATGATACACAAGAATTAAATAAGCGGCCAATTCATCACTGAATGATTCTGAAGTAGAAGAATTATATCTTCATTCTATTATCGCAATCAGAAATCATCGTAAATTATTTCTTAATTGAAATCAGATACTTCATATTTCTCATGTCATTTATATTTATCATGATGATCACGTACATGTTGAAAAATATTCTACATTTAAGTCTTATTTTATTCAAACAACTCTGAGCCCCGAAGATATATTTAATACGGTTAAGGTAAGCATTGGTGATGCGATGCCACTGTGTCTGGAATATGCGGCCAATAAAAGGCGAGAATAGGAATGATTATTAATGCCGGTTTCTGGTTCAGTAGTCGACTAAATCTAAGAGTTAAAAATGAAAAGAAATACATAAAAGAAAATTTGAATTGCGTCATGTGGTGAAGCTCAATAAGTTCTCTTTTAACGAGTTTTTAAATCGGTTTATACTTCAAGTGGATTAACATTGTTTAAAAGTTTCTCTTGAGCTGCGAAGGTTCAAACTCTTTTTATTTTATTTTTTCATTTATTTGTTCGCAAATGATCTTGTTTTTTAAATCTCGACTACTGTATCTAATCACATAGCACATGTAGAAAAAAGCACACAAGCTGAAATTCAGAAGAAATGGGTCACGATCGCGATAAATCGTCCAACATCAGTCCAGAAATCATTGCTTCTTGTAAGATTGCCACGGAAGTTGTAAAAATGTCGCTCAACATTTTTTTCGTTGTTCAGCTTGGAGACATGATTTAATTAGGTTTGAGAGTGAATAACTTTATATTTTTTGCTGATTAAGACACAAAGTGGTGGTCTGCAAAAAGATGAGAACAATAAAGAAAATACGAATTAATCGTGTCTTTTTTAATCCAGGATTTTAAAAATAAAATTATAAAAAAATAAGGGAATGTCTTTGGGAAATTGTCAGAAAGAAAGTTTGAGAAAGTGCATTTCGGAAGACGTGATTTTGGAAACGGTTGACACTTTGAAAAGTTGAAGATATCTCAATTTATCTTTAAATGTCATTTAGCATTAAAAAATCTCTCAGGGTGGTACTGAAGCATAAATCAACTCTCTTTATGCTGAGTCAATACATTAAGTTTTATGACGAAGCGCATTGAAACATAGTTTTGTAAATTTTCTTTATGGGCTGAAAGCATGTAAATTTATTTCATTTACATGAATTCAGCTTTATGATTTCAAAATGAGGAGTTAATTTGTAGCCTTAACATTTATTTCGCGCTTTTATGGTTTATGCTGAGAAATCATATATTTGATAGTTGTAAGAAATTCTTATATACTTCATTGAATTGACAGAAGAAAGAAATAGTAAAAGGAGCATGATGAATTTTGAGGTATCTTCGTCTTAACGCCTCAATTTGATTAAGAATATTCCCACTAAAAGCAGATCAATTAATGAGAACTGATCTTGTTCATCATGATGATAAAAAATACATGAGTTTTGATACTCTACAAATAATTAAAAATGCAGGGGAGGAAACAAATTTTATAACTTTATTTAACTACCTCAATATTATTAAAATAATTTAAATATTTTATCGTTAAATTAGATATATGTATCTACATACATCTAGATTTTATTATTCTGATTTGCGTAAGACTTTAACAACTTTGAATATGTGAAACACTTCACACGAGATTGAATTAATTGAATTTTAATCATTTTTTTAGAGGCTTTCATAGCGTAAGTGTTGAAACGTGGCCATTAATGACTAAATAAGAACAGTATTTGATGATCATCATATTATTATTCAGAAACTAAAAGAAAAATGCTTAATAGAACATAAATTATGTTGACAAAAACTTAAGATGTAACGTGACGTCTTCTACACATTTTTTTAACTCAACACGCGACTTTGTCATTAATGGCATGTTTCTGAGGAATAATCTTGAGTAACTTCAACATATTAATGATAGTGAATCATGTCATACAGAGAAAGGAGTTTATTTAATTTTTATTTTAAACAAAGTTTCTCTGAGAAAACTGCACTTCATCAATTAAACAAAAAAAATCGTCTTTCTCTTATAAATATTTATACTGTGAAGTAATACGTACGTACTAACTTGTTTAGCCAACATAACAGTTATGCTATTGAAATCCTGCTTGAGAATTTTCATGCGAGACATCTTACACGTCTTATCTCGATGTCTTATGTTTTGAGATAGTCCGCAATAATCACGCCTTGTTACCGCATGAGATTGCCGATGGTAATTATAAGTATGTAAACATTATTAAAATAATCATTAAATAAGTTACGTGTCACTGCCTTCATCTCACATTGCAGCAATTTAAATGTAATTAATGCTGCAATTTCACTGATTAAAAAGCACCGGAAATTTGGCACATAAAACAAAAAAGTGAAATCAGAAATTGCATTTTACGCATAACTCTTTACAGCACTGAAAACTTTTTCGTTTTTAAATGCCTTTTCTTCATACATGAAAATGTAGGTCGACCTTCAATTTTTGTTTGTTCATAAAATCATTTTTTATTGTTATCGATTCTACGTTCATCAACTGTCGTTAATTACTTCATTCCCCTTTGCTTTTCCCAGTGGCAGTCGATATTATTTACTAACTTAAAGGTGAAAGAAACGATTTTTATTTGAGAAAGTGAAATTGATTGATATCGAAGCACGAATTTGAACTCATTAGATCTAATGAGGTATAGTTAAAATCTTCATCGTTATGATGTCTGTATCCTCCTTTGGTATTTTGTTAGGAAACATCAAGAGCTTCCATATGGTCAGTACTTAATAATTATTAATAAGAAATTGGAGATGCGACTGCAATGTTGGTCTGAAGATTCAAACTTCTTTCTTCTCCTCTATACATTTTTCTATTTTATTTTGTAGATCTTTGTTCGAAACTTAATTATTGAATAGAATTATTAAACGATTTGTTTTTTATTTACTTAATGTTCCTTGTCGCAATATGAAGAAATAAAATTATTGCAAGGAAAAAGTTAAAACGTAAATTTATTGATTTTTCATCTGCATATAAGCGTTAGAGATCTACCACATTTCTTGAGGTGTGGGAAAAATGAATATTAAATATTATATTGTTTGGCATACGCCACAAAGTGTGGCAAACCTTTAATATCAAATTTAAAGGGCGAGTCGTGTTCATCGTTGTCAAGTGTATAGATGAAAGCTCATCGTCACTTTCTCAATCGTGAATTTCAAATAATAATTTTTTTTGAGGTAATTCAGTTTATTTTGATACTTTCTTTTCAACGTTTACGTTTTCATTTCAACTTTAATTACAATTCATTGAACCTACCTATCGCTCAATAGGAAACAATTTTCATGATTGAAGCGAAATCATCAAAGAAGAATTTTTAATGAAAAGAACGGAAAAGATAATGTATCTTACTTCTATTTCATTTATTTTGGATTTCGTTAAGCTACTGATGTGTTAAAGTCTATGTTAATAATTCAACAGTAATCATTCACATAGAGTTAGCGCAGTTTTCATAGAATTATGCGATTATAGGAAGAGAAGATTCTATTTTGATTCGTTTCATTGTAAATGTAATAACACTATTTATAAGATTGCTCTTAAAATATTAAAAGTGTAATAGATTTATGAATTTATTGATCAATGATGCTTAAGATCGCCGATTAAAATCCCAATATAATTGTCACTCTCTGAAATGGAGCTTAACTTATTGAATAAAATGGATATCATTTGGAGTTTTATTCATGGTTATTGGAGTGTGTCATCAGATATCTTAGAGAATAAATTGGTACAACATAGAAAGAAGAAAATATTATGGTTTTGGTGGAATTTTTGCTCAATCGAGGGAAGAAAGTGTGTTTCGTGGAACACGAGATCGATGAGAAAATTTTTATTTGTTTCTTCATCTTAATCAATGCTTTCCATTTCTACATGATTGACATTTATTGATGCAATCTTGTTTGTGGTATATTTATCTCGTTTTATTGAATTTATTCGAAATGTTCCTACTGGTGTAATATTTTTGGAAACCACTAAACATTTCTTTTATGCATTAAAAATCCAAAATGTGAAGACACAAGAATTATCTAACATCACTTTCCTTACCGTGTTTCATTCAGTGAATTTTTAGTAACTATTTAATAAATTGCGTTTATTTCAAACTGATTTAGTTTTATTGACGTTAGTTGCTTCCACAGTTTTTTGGTAAATTTTCACTTTCAACCAAAGAGAAAATCGTGATTCAGTTTCTTCAAGAGTTTCTTGCACATAATGCGCACTCAATTTTTATTTTCTCTTCATCTCTTTTTTTATTTTCTTTGCTGTCTATAGTTTCAAGTCTTAACCAAAAGCAAATGATAACATTACTACGCAGAGCTCACATTAGTTTCTCGCAGACGGTCAACGCGTGCAGTAGTTCCTTTCTTCATTGAATATTGCAATATTTATGCCAGTTTTTTTTTGAAGTGTGGATTTTTTTTTAAAATATTTAAAATTTCTTAGTGGATAAAAGAAAAATTTAGAAAAGTTTCCTTTATATTTTTATAATGATAATTTTTAGGTGTTTTTCCGTGATTATTAATTTAACATTTTTGAGAAATACAAGAGAAATATTTAGTCATTAAAACATTAAATAGTGAAACATTGGATAAAAACAGAAACAAAATACATTGAGTCTGGTAAGTTGATATCTTAGGAAATCACGCGGTTACACGCAATAGTGCAATCTTCTTGAGTGGATAATGGTCAACCTGTCAATCTGAAATAATCTATTTTTAATCGATTGAATCATTTCCTATTTAAGTGCATCTACCATCAATCGATGTGGAAGGAAATTTCTTACGTGATGTTTTATTTGTTAGGATTGTACTTTGGCGAGATCAATAAAAATATTTATGAGCAAAGTTAACTGTTAAATTGAACGTTGTTGTTTTTGCGATTCATATTTGAGTTTCATCTAAGAAAGAAAAATTAAAGTTTAGAATCCAAAATCTGTAAATCATAAATTAAGATATTCGATTCTAAATATAAACATAAGAGTGTTTACGATCAAACAAGTGATATTTAATAACATAGATTAAAAGTAATTTGATCGAATGGTACGGCATTGTAACTTACAACCTTGAGGCAAGCCCATCTCAGGTATATCTGAAGAACTGAAAAGCGAGATTTTGAACCTTTACTTTTCTTCTTGTTCTTTTCATATTTCTCCTTTGACTTTCCGCTGAGTGAGTCGTCAAATGAAAGCTGAGAAATTGTTGGTTTTATTCAAGAATGCTGATCGTCGAAGTGGAAATAGAATTGTTAAAAAATTCGTCACGAGCCAAAGAAAGCGTTTTATCTATTATGGAGACCTCAACGTCCAAGACTCATTATTTTAACAAACGTTCTTATGCACACAGAACGAAATTAAAATTACGCAATATTCTCATTAATCTCTTTACCGTTTGTTTCTAACAGACTAATAATGTAAAATGAGAGATTTATAACAGATTTGTGTTGGCTAATCTTGTATGCTTGATCTAGATTCGGAATTCTTTCCGGTCTTTGAAGCCATGAATATAGAATGAGAAAAGAAAAATTAAAGGAAGACATAACAGAAAAAATAACACTTGAAAATTTTAAAGCTCACGCAATTCGTATTATCATTTATGGAAAAACGTGATTAAAAATCAAATTTCTTCGTGTCAATATGTGTTGCGGCTTCTTCAAATATAATGACTCAGGTGTGGTCATGAAACTTTCGCTTTTCACGTTGCGTAAACGCCCGGTGACCTATTGAAGGCTAAACATTTCCGTCATTAATATGTGGTATGAGTTGTCAACAAATTAAAACGAGATGGAAAGAATAAAGAAATGATTCACCAAATTATTAGCGAACATTCATTTAATATTTCATAATTATTACCTTGACACAAACGAAAGTAAAAGTTTAAATCAGAAATGTCTCGAATTATCTTTTAAGTTTGTGTAACATGATAATTTAAATAATTTACATGTGTCGTAATTCACGGATTTTCCACATGGCGGATCTTTGCATGCATTTTGATATAGAGAACAATAATGAAGAAGCATTTCAGTCATGAGCTTTGTCATTTGCGGAATTTTTACTCAATCATTATGAGATAATAGTTGACGATTGTTTTCAGTCACACAACAATAAAATTGTCATTTTTTGTAACGCAATCTGACTTGACTAGGATATTAAATATTTTTAATATTTAAAAGTACAATAGCTTACATCGCTTCAACTGGGATGTATTAGATATTGTCTTTGGTTTTGGTTGAGTTAAAAAATTAACAATTTATTACATTTCCTTCTCACTTAAGGGAATTAAATAATTTATTCCATGACAGTCCTCTGCCAAATGCAGTCACAGCAAGAAGTTAATTTCAATTTATTTGTTTCTTTGTTTGTTTTCGATGATCAATGCAACAATGTGTGGAAAAAAAATTAGCCTTACATATAAAATTATCTGAGAGAATTCTTCTGTTCATTACATTTCCATGTAAGGAACTTTAAACTGAAGAGTATAAAAGCATGTCGCACCTAAATTGCAGTCTAAGCAATGTTTCCTTTTATAGTTAAGATAATTTTTTTACAACTCTACTGAAGTTTCAACTCGCGTTTTTCTTCTTGTCGATTGACCGATGAGGGAATAGAAAAGAATGAGGCGAATGAAGATAAAGCAACAAGTTGATGTTGCAATATGAGAAACACTTATGAGTACCGGTCTAGATTTTAAAACATTCTTAGTCGAGAGTTGAAATCAATAAAAAACAATCAACAGTTATGTAACAATTCTTTAGATTAGAATCACATATAAGCATGCTTTATTTACTTTGTGGAAAGAAATAAGTAATATAAAATATGACACAATTTTTTTACCTTTTATATTATTCGAGGTACATCTATGAAGATGCTGCTAATTTATTCTCAAGAGTAATGCTGAATAAATTCAACATAAATTATCCAAACTTGATTGCCAACAACCAGCAGTGTTTTTTTATTTCATAGATATTTGAAATTCAAACTTGGGAAAAGTTTAACGCTTGTTGCTTTAATTCTGATCCTCCTAAACATTGAAAATTTTTGAGAATATATGTATGTATGTATGTTGCAAAGTGTTTGAGCTTATCACGTTTTTTCTAACGAAACCTTTTATTAAGAAATAAATTTAATCGTTCTTTGATTATGCATATCAACTTAGTCAGATAACTGAAGGCAATTTTCATAAAAAAGATATGAGAAAACTTTTAAAATTTTTATTATCTTCTATTTCGCAATTTAAGGTTGTAAGAACCAAAGAAAGAACCATGCTGAAATTTTCACATCAATCAAACGGAAATAATTATTAAGGCAACGATAACTCTAAAAATGTCATTCTAAAAATCAAAAGATTCATGCAGAAATGAAAGTGCGGATATGATAAGCGGAAAAAGAAGATTTCTGAATAAAACTTTTTATTAGCGTAATAAGAAATATGAAAAGAAGTCAAATCATTTCAGACCAAATTAGAATTCGCTACTCAATGTAATCTCAACATTAAATCTTTTTATATATTTTTTTTTCACTCAATTAAAATGTGTTTCTTGAGCTACGTATCTATCATTATTTAAGCACTTCTGTTTCATTTGAAAGTGATCATATCAAAAATCATTGACGACTATAAAAGGAAAAAAAAGTTCCTATTCAAGCTACAATGATTCGTTATGATATTCCGTTCGTTGATAGAATGAAAACTATTGAATATGAAAATAATAGGAATAACCACAGACAACAGCTACACCGTTGAAGTTTTGAGCTTTCGACACGAAAAGAAATATTTTTTTTTCTTCTCCAATTTCAATGACAATAGATGAGAAGCATAAAGATTTCGTTAAGATTACTTTTCACTTTCGTTTGCTCATGATCATAAGATTTAAAGAGTGAAAAGTGAAAAAATCAAGCATAACATTATTTTTATGTCTGTTTATGTATATATTAATTCCACTGTGAAATATATTACTCTTCAGCCATCATATTACGAAAATATTTATGCATTTCTCCAGGGCTTTACTGACCTAAATACTCTCAAATCTCTGAAGATTAACTTCGAAAATTAATTTCCTTCTTTAAAGTTTATTTTGTGTTGTGACTTTAAGCCTTAAATTATTGAAAAATGTGAATACAAAAAAGAAATGCATCATCTTCGAGTCGAAATTTGCTCTTCCCATTCTTCATTTAATGAACTTCATGACTGCAAGGCTTTCAACATTTTCTCTGTTATTAGCCAAAATATTTTGCTTGGCAATAATCGATAATGATGATTCATGACAAGAGGTGATCAAAAAGAAACGATTTTTTCAAAGTCATCATACGATTTCACGCCGAAAATTGTTTCCTCTATAACGAGTACTTGTTAGTGAGCATTCGCACATTCGAGCATAATTAAACAGCGGATTTATTCATTTGTTTCTCCTTCTTATTTTCTTCTTTTGATGAATTTGTAACAGTAAAGACATTTTTACCCACATGGTCATTTGAATATCTACTTAAAACACCGTCTAGCACTTAGAATATCAATCTCAAATATGTATGTAGAACACAAACGGCACAGCTTCCTGATGAATAATTATGAAAAATTACGGGTATTAAAGTAGTTTTCAGTCTCCATTATGTAAGATATATTGTCAATAATCAAATGCTCCAAGAATTTCAACCGAACTCATCATTATTTCTTTGTTGTTGCTTGTTGGTGAAACGAATTTTTGCACAGTTTATGTTTGAATAAATTTAGATGCATGAAAATCTTTTTTTTATAAGCCTAAAATTTTTCTCTTATATTTATTTTTGTTACAGATGTGAACGCGAAATGCTGGAAGTGAAAGAAAGTGACTCTCACGTTTGAATGATTCCACAAATCTTCAAATTAATGATAGCACATTTTTAATGATAGATTTAGGTGAGTTGAACTTTTTATGATCTGTTAAAAAATGATTGGTAATTTGTTTGTGAATGATTTTCACGGTCATTTGCTTAATATGCAAAACGGTTTTGTTTGTGAAAGTCTTGTTGATCTATCTTAACGTCGCAATGGCCTCATATCATAAAAACAATTAAAATAATTCAAATGAATGTATTAAAAAGTTCAAATTCGTGACGAAAGTTCTCAAATCGAATGAAACTTTGTACTAATTTTTCTATCGTTTTCAATTTAACATGAAACAATCTCTTCGTTGTTGAATAGTAACGTGTTAAATTTAAATTTGTCTTAATTAAGTTTTTATTTGTTTGTATCTTGCTCATGTCTTTAGATACAAACATATATGTCAGTTTCTGCAACATGTGACTTTCTTAATTTGTAAATGATTTTAAACAACATTTCTTTCAATCACAAACATTTCTAGTTGTCAGATTACTTTCTTCTGTTTTCTTTTTAACTACTTTTGTTTAACGGATTTCAAATAAAGATTCTCGCGACTATTATAAACATAAGTATCTCTTAATAAGAAAGTGTAAGATATTATGTTCAACTCTTCTCATCACTTTCTTGACTTGACAAGTGTTAAGAGTTTTATTATTCGAAAATAATTTGTTCTTATATTTTTTTAATCTCCGACTTCTGCCGATAAACATCAATATTTTTTATGCAGTAGTTAAACCATAAAAGTTATTATAATCTTAATTATTTATTTTTCACGCTTTCTTTAGCTTAGAATAGAAGACAGAAAAACAGTAAAACAAACAAAAATCAATGAACTCTTAAAGCTACAAAGCAAAGAAGTCATTAAGCAATTTCTTTTCACCTTTGGTTTAACTTATTTCGTCTCAAGCTCTCATATTCTTAAATGCGGTAATTCATCTTTGGAACGAAGCCGGCAAAATTCAACGGACATGTTGTGTGTTAATAAAATTTACTGTTACATGTAGTTCATGCAAAATTGATTCTTGAACCAAAATCAGCTTAATATCCACAAAATAATTTCCTTTTTAACGCGAGAAATTTTTAAATTCATTTCACCAATATTGCAAAATATCAAACTTTTTTCATTTTGTCGTGTTTTATTTTTTCTTTCGGGAATATTCTTATTTTGGTCAATGGTTCCATTGTTTTTAATACGAAGAACAATGTTGACTTTGGTAGTAATAAGAAGAGAATCAGGTTTTCGAATCAGATAATTATTGATTTATAATAACATTAAATAAAGACCGCCGCGAATCTGCCTCAAAATTTACTTTGAATTTCTTCCGTGATTGTTAAAATATTTTATTCTCTGATTCTTTTTAAACAAAAAACTAAAAGGTTGATGAGGGGACTTCATACGAAGACTCGAAGCGATGTGCCACTGTGAAATGATGTATGAAAGTATAATTACTTGTGAATTTATCAGCAAGTCAGAAGAAATTTTTAATTGTTTGATTTATGAACAGAGATGAAAAATCAAGAAGAATTAATCGCAGAGAAATTCATGAACTTAACAATCTTCTCTTGTTTATGAGAACGTGCGAAGATGAGATGATCGAACATCAAAGGCTCGACTCAGTTGCAAATTTTTATATGGAAGCGTGGAGCAAATTATTCACGGCATGCGCAAATTTTTGAAAGCCTTTTTCTCTTCGATCTTTATCGAAGCAATGATATTTCTCAACTTAATATGTATCTGTTTTGACTTAGCCCACTTTATTTTAAGGAGGTTTAAGATTTAATCAAAAAATTCAACCGAAATTAACCCCAGAGCCATGTTTTACATACATAATGAAAGTTGGTGTAGCAGTTAAGTGAATTAACGCCTCCGTTAGTAGTCAAATAAAAGAAGTGTCTGGAAATGTTGTGTGATAGGAAATCATTAAGGCGGTTTTCTTTTAACACGCCAATCTATGTATGACCTTAACATGTCTCCATATTACTAATCTCCCTGTTGTTTTTGACATGAGCTATAATTTGGCACTTGAAGAAACGAAATGATGACCGAGTAAACTATTACAACTCAACTCAACCGAAAATTGTAATAACAATTTTCAAAATATTTTCTTCAATTTGATTTCTAAACATTTCACTTTCATTAAAAAGTTTTGTTTTCATTCGCCCACTTTCTTCCACTTAAAATTTAATAATAACATTGAGCGATTGAATACTTTTTTCTGTAGATTTTGATTGATGAAACTATCTTTTATTATACCCAATAAAAATAATAAAGTTTGAAGTGAAATAATTAGAGTGAAAAGACTCAAAAAATTTCTTTAATCCGCTACTGATAATAAAATTAAACAAAAAGCATTTTTGCACTATGAAACAAGTTGTAGAAGATCGAATAATTTGCTTAAAAATGATCAATAAGAGCGATCTGACTTCCATAAAAACGTTATTAACTTTAAATGATGAAGAAAATGAGTATTTTATGAGTGATCAGAAGAGAACATAAAACGAAATATAAAATAAAGAAAAAAGTGTTTGAGTCAATAAACATCATATTAACGATTATTAAAAGTGAAAGAAAAATGGTTTTAGAAGCTGTTGAGTCTCACCTTATGTGGTAATTAAATGCTTCGCCAAATGAAACTTTCTTTACATTTTTTGACTACCGCTGAACCAAATATCAATGTCAAAATTATGATCTCAGTTGAGTTATAACTGTACCGATTTGAATTAATGTTTATAGATTTTAATCATATTTCTCTTAATACTTTTACGAGAGACTGAAAGAAAATTTGCGTATTTCTTAAACAAGAAGTGGCTAAAAGGTTTATTATACTGTTAAAGTGAAAATGAGTTCTTACTGGAAAGAAAAAAAGGTGCTTGTACGATTATTACTTAGATACATTTTCAGATAATTGAGACAATTGAAAATCAGAAAAATAATTTAGGAAGTCACTGAAACATTTTATTAGTTTACTTTGTAAGCGTTTTGATTAAGATAATTTATTTTTCTCACTATTATAGCTACACTTACATCTAAAAACTGTAATTTAATTTTAATGACTAAGAAGATTTCCTATATTTTTGATTAATTTAAATGGCCTTATAGAACACTCGCAATTGTCAATTAGAACTTAATTTAAAACGTTCTTTGTGTTACTTTTCTCAAGTATTGAAATCAACATGATTCATTTCTCTTAAGAATTATGATTTATCACAACAACATAATAGTCTTTTTTCCTACTTAAAGTTCTAAGCGTTTGTCGGGATGAGAAGCAACCTTAGTGAACATATGAAAACGTCCCATGAATCATAACACTTTAGATTTTGATCCGCGTGTAACTTTCTCATATGGTAAACTTTTCGAATATCTTCTTATTCGTTCAATCTGGAAAGAATATGTGAAAAAAAGAGAATGAAGAAAAGTAAATATTTTGTCGTTGCTATTAAACGATTCGTCATCATAGTTAGATGAGAAAATGCGGTACTCACGATATATGCGAATGAGAACAGCATGGACGCAAACCCAAGTAAAAGAGCAAATAAAACGTCAAGCATGAGATATTTCATCCAACTCAGTGTTTTGTGTTCACTTAGAAGATGTTTCTAGAGGAAGAAAATGCAATTAAATTGTGTCGGTTAAAAATTAATTCATGAGCTTACAGTTCCTCCGTTCCGTATCACGTAATTTATCCACCACGTGGCACGTTCAACAGAATTTCCGATCGGTTGATCAATAATCAGGTTTCTAAGTTTAACCGCATTCGATTTAAATCTGAGAAAGGAAGAAATTAAAATTACTTTTAGACATTTGATCTATCGATGTGGCCTCTTTTTTTTTATTGCACGTGCTTGCTGCACAACTCGCAAAACTCTCCCACTTGAATAAAACTCTTTCACTCTCGCTAGGTCAGATACTACATTCAACGATCTCGTGCAATATGTTAATCGAGGCGTGATAATGCTCTTTCTATATCAAAAGTAACACTCACCGCATAGACGAAATTATTTCCTCAAGCTTATTTTCGACTTCATTTTGATTATCAAAGTCAATGACTGATATTAGACCGCATTCGAATTTCTCGATTTGTTGAAGGTAGTGATCATATATTAAGGTGTAACTGATGCCAAAAACTGGTACTGTGTGATGAATTGAGTCTTCAATATTACGTTGACCACCATCAGTGACATGAAGAATCGTTTTTGGATGAGCTAAATAGAAGAAAAAGAAAACAAAAAAAAATACGTTAAATTTTTCTTTCTCGACTTCTCTTTCATTCTTATTCATTTCATTGAAATCTGTTTGCGACTAACAAAGCATGAAGTATCCTCACAAGTACACGTAGAAAAGTGAAGAAATGATGAACAATTAGAAAGAGAGATAAATTTCAACGAGTTGCATAAATAGAACGATAATTAAGAAATCTTTCAAACACGTGTGAGAATTTCAAGCCAAATCGTTTTTATTAACATTGCGTTTGTTGTTTGGAATGAATCATTAGTTACGAGTCATAAACATGATATTGGAAATTTCACGTCATTTAATCTAATTGTTGTCTTCGAACTTCCAACGGGCTGTATTCGTTTTTATCCAATTATAGACAACTGTTATGCAACATCACGTAATTCATAAATACAAGATTAAAACATGTTTAGTACCGTCACTACTTTCAGTTTCAATAGATCAATACTTTAGATTGAACGGAAGATTTTCCAAGATATTTCACAACACATGTTTTTTAAATTTTTTTAACAGAGAAAGAAGAAGCCGCTTGAAACAGTAAAATTTCATTTGTTTACCAACTGACCAAGGAATATTATCAATTTGATTATTTTATGATCTTTTGACTCCTTTCATTTTAAAGAATATTCGCGAAGAAAGAAAATTGCGTTTTTGTTTCTTTTTCGAAAGTTGAGGTGCATTTGAAATAAGAATTAATTATCTCTCAGTAAAAAATAAATTCCTTTTTTCTCAACAGAAATTCGTAAAGTTATTCATGAGATGAATGAAAACACAAATTAAAAGTGATAATTTACCTAAAATGCCTTCCTGGTCAATCTTATTACTTTGATACATTCTAGAAGTTGTATTGATGTAGTCATCGTTTATATTCCACACAATATCAACATCAAATTTTTCAAGTGTCGTCAAAAGCTTCTCGAATCGATGTCTATCTTGATGGAATCCATTACTCAAACTAACATAAACAACCCTTTCAGATTCATCAAGGAATTTTTTCAAAGACTTTGATAATGGCTTCAATTCAGCTTTCTGATGAATTCCACCCAAATAGATCGTCGTTGGGACAATAGGACGGATGTTGTTTAAGATTTCATAAGAGTTTATGAGTAATAAATCTGCACTGCTTGCAATCTCCCACATATTAGGCGCATTCTCTTCATTGAGAACATTTTTGATTATTTCATTTTGCAATGGAATTTCTTCAGTGAAATAATAAAATCTGAAAAATTCAAAGTCAAAAACGATTGTTAATTGAATGCAGATAAGGAATTGCCTACGAAGCGATAAGAATTATTCAAAGTCCAGTAAAAACATATTTTTGTGTGAAATTTGCTCAAACTGGGTTAAGAGTTCAAAGCGTCTGTGCTTATGTGAATGATTAATTCTACTCACCGATACCATATTGTGAACAATACGCTTGAAATACGTTGCAGGAGATTCAAATTTTTGGTGAATGGCAAAAAGACGCTTGGAAACGAAATTGGGTGGCTTGGATTTCCAAATGCTTCATGGACATTGGGAAAAGCTTCACCATTAGTTATAGCGACTAAAGGTACTTTGAAATGATGAGCAAAAATATTCATAAGTGATGAACTGCCAGACCAATCGACTATTACGAGATCAAAGTGACCAGCACGAAGCTTAAAAAGTTCTTCCACCTTCGGGCTTTTTAACTCGACTTCGTAAATTTTTCTCATAACATTAAAAATAGTTTTCAACATTTCCGATCCTTCAAGATCGACATCTCGAAGCTCATCGAGAATATTCAAATTGTAAACAAAGCTGAGGTCAATTTCCGTCACATTACGAAATACGATTCCATCGCGGCTTTTGAAAACTGGATTTGTTGTCAATACTGTGATTTCATGTTCATGTTTGTGAAGATTCTCAATAAGTGGCTGATACACTGTCTGATGTTCTTTAAATGGTATTGGCAATATTACCAATATTCGAGACTCGTACGAATTTTTTACCATGCAAAGTAAAATTTGCACAATCAAAAATCGTTGAAAACTCATTTCGAGAATTCTCGTTAAGTTCGCTCTTTCTTTTTATTTTCCTTATCTAAAATCTGAGTCACGATCACTTGAATTTAATTAAACTGCAACCGATATATTTATTATTTTCTCTTTGTTTGTTTCTATAGTCTTTTGATTTAATGATTCACAACGTACTTTTGAAATTGTAATTTGTTTCCTTGCTTGTAAAACTTCAAAAAATTGTCAATTTCAAAAAACTTTTCCGTTGTATCAATTTCACTTTAATTAGCAATCTTATTTATTTACTTTGTTCAACTTCCTTTTCAACTGCTTTCGTTGACGAGTAATTTCAAACTGAATATAATTGAGCGATAGAACGTGAACATTTATTGAAAACGACGCGACGTTTCAATACCAACACATTTTTTCACACATGCAAAAGGTTTTAGTTGAATGTTAAGTAAGGAGAATGACGTGTCATAGCGCGTATTTTGGCAATTTCTTTTCACACATTGTTAGTGGTTTTTTCCATTACACTTCTTACTAAACTATAAGTATTCACGTTATCAGATACGCTAATTATTTTCATAAGATTTGAAGATAATTTTATAGATAAATATTCGTAAATTTTCGTTTTAAGTATCTTTTCCTCGCTACATTGAAATTTGACGTCTAAATTTAGATGATTTCTTAGAATGTGCATAGTCACAATCTACTTAATTAAACGAAATCATTTTAAGAGAAATAAATGGAGGTGTGGGGTGACGTAATAAAAAATTCTACGAAACAATTATTATTTACTTGTTTACTATTTTTCAATTTTTTTGTCTATCTATTTGACACGTGAATTGAAACTCTAACGTCGGAATGTAAACATCAATTAATACATACGACGATGTTAGTTATTTTCCCAGCCGGTTGAGGCTGGTCGTGAAAAAAAATCTCTTAAATACAACTAAAAGAAGTAGGTAGTAAATAATTTTGCGCTGAAATGAAAATAACACGAAACCCGTATTTTTTTTCTCAATCAACACACGACACCGTTTTGAGAGGCTCGTCTTGAAAAACCTTGAATTTGTTTTCAATTCTATTCCGCACCGCTAAATGAACTCGAATGTTTACATTTTACGACATATTTAATCAATGGATCTGTTTTCGATTTTTTTTCATAGAAGAATTTTTCACAACACGCGGCACTGAATCATCTTTGTGGGTGTAATATCCGCGAAAAATTACGCACAATTTTTATTTGATAAAAATATTTTTTCTTTACCAAGGCCACTCGTCATGCCGCGTATTAAGCAGGCATTTATTTTTTAAGACACAGTGACCTAGAAAAAATACAAATAAGTAAATAGATAAAAATAATTAGCTGAAATAAGATTTTTTGAGTGATACTCTCGAGATATTCTCGATAATTGAATGATTAATGTTTTAAACACTAAATTCAAATTTTATTTCATATTTTTTGATGAGACTATATTCTTTATTTCTTACAGGAGTTCTAACAACTTCCACGATGCGATGGAGTCGTTGGAAAGCGTCAATAATTATATTCATCATAAATTTACTAACTGAATCATTATTAGCTGGGTCTAGTCACAACAATAAGAATTTTAGAATAAGCCCAAAACCATGTGTTGTTAGCGAAATAGAAGGAACATGTATGTTTGTGTGGGAATGTATAAAGTCTGAGGGAACGCATTTAGGAATGTGTATGGATGGGTTTATGTTTGGATCATGTTGTGCACATAATCTAACAGATAATTTTGTATTACCGCCATCAACGCCATTTCGTCCCCAAATTAAACCAACATCACCTGTGAAATTAAGGCCTTCAAATAAGCCCAATAAACCCAATCATCTTGCGATACAAAGACCAAATGGAAGTGGAACGCTGGTGATAAGGCAACCACTCCAGCCACAAAGGCCATTTAAAACGAAACCCACAAGACGTCCGCCAACAAAGAATCCTATCGACAATTTCAACGATTCTCAAAATGAATTGAGTGTCTCTGCTAGTGTCTCAGCTAGTAAGTATCAAATTTCCTATATACGTTATTTTTTCGAAACTTTAAGATTTATCGTTTTTTATAGACACATGGTCATCAAAACCTTGGCAAGTCACAACAGAACCAAATTTCATAACAAAACCTCGACCATCACCATGGGACAAAACAACTCCGTCAAGACCAAAGCAAAAACCGACGAAAAAGCCAATAACTTATATTTCTACTGTAGTAACATCGACAAGGAAGCCAACAACATTTAAACCCAAACCACCGGTATTATTTTCAATTTAAATTACTTTAAATAAGTTGCCATTAGATTTAATTAAATTTTTATCAATTAAGGTGAAAACAGTAAAGCCAATAACAACACAAAGAAGCACAACAACGACGACGACAACTACGACCACCACCCTCGCACCAATCACAAGACCTATCACTCGTTTTACTTCGAAGAAACCAAGCACGATACCGTCAACTGAACTTTTGGAAAACACAATTCCTTCGAAACCTTTACCACCTCTTAAACCAATTCCTGGTAGAGACACTTTGTCTGCATCTAGGAATATCGATTGCGGACTTTCCACTGTATTGGCTCGTCCTGAAACTAGAATCGTCGGTGGCAAAAATGCTCCGTTTGGCCGTTACCCATGGCAAGTGTCAGTACGAAGAACATCATTTTTCGGATTTTCAAGTACACATCGATGTGGAGGTGCTGTACTGAACGAAAACTTTATAGCCACAGCAGGTCACTGCGTAGATGATCTCTTAACTTCACAAATTCGTATTCGCGTAGGTGAATATGACTTTTCTCATGTTCAAGAACAACTTCCATACATTGAGCGTGCAGTGTCCAAGAAAATTGTTCATCCCAAATACAATTTTTATACATATGAGTATGATTTAGCATTAGTAAAACTGGAACAACCGCTTGAGTTTGCTCCGCACATTAGCCCAATTTGCTTACCTGCAACCGATGATTTACTGATCGGACAAAATGGAACTGTCACTGGATGGGGCAGATTAAGTGAAGGAGGGACATTACCATCAATCCTTCAAGAGGTAAGCTGTGATAATTTATTGCTACAAGGATAAAAATCTGACTGAATAATTTAATGACTTTGAATAATTTATTTACATTTACGAGATCGTTCAATGATACATGTTGGTTGGAAATATGTAATCGTTCTAACATTTAATCATTCCTTTGTTACTTTCTCTCTAAATTGTTAATCACGTCAAAAGCTCAATCACTGACTAACTTAATCAATCAATTCAATCAAATAGGCTATCAATTTAAATTAAATTTTCATCCGTGAAATTAATCCCATTTCAATTTAATGAGTCGGGATTTGATAGGCGATAAATTGAAGCTCCTATTGTGTTTTTGCTTTTCTTCTCAAGAGAAAATAATAATTTTTCATCCTTTACTACGCATTTGGAGCATGAAATCATTTTCCAGCTTGTTTATTGATACGAATATTGATGGAGGGATCTTTTTGACACTTGAGCTGATTACAAACTTTTATTTCTTTTTATAACTCCATGGTCAATGACAAAATTTTTGAGGAAATTGAAAAAAAAACTTTCCCCTCTGTGGAATTCTTTGACATTTAAGTAGAGAAAGAAAATCAATTTTTATTCTTTTGTTTTTCCTTTTTCCTACAAACTTTCCTTCACATCATATAAGTATTTGATTTCTCAAGAGTTTTCTAAGATGCTTATCCTACAAGGAAAGTCATTGGGATCTTCAATATTTATTGAATCCCATTCATTGTTATCACTTCAATTTATATTTTTAATAGAATTACTGGGACTTGGTTCAATATATTTCAGATAAGACTGAATTACTGGTAATGAATTGGCTTTTATCAGTTGCGATTTTTCATTCCACAGTCTCGCTGTGAAAGACTGAAGGAACTTCATGGAGAAAATTTATCTAATTCACTTAATCTTCTGTGAAGTTCAGTGGTTCATTGTGTTGTGAAATTTTAAGGACAAGATAAGGTTGAGAATAGGTCAGGATTGGAATGTTCTCTTTGTCGTACGGTTAGTAAATTTATTGGGGTAACATTTCGTGCTGAATTAAACGAATGATAATCTGCGGGATTAGAATTCTTTTTGGCTTCTTCTTTCAGTTCTAATCTTTTAAAGGCAATTGAAGGCAATCGATAAACTCGAGGACGAGGTCGATTTATATCTTTCTGTGATTGAATTTCACTCTAACCCTTTTCAAAACAAGAGCTTTCAGATAATTTGAGATGAATCTGAATGCAGTTCAGTGATTTTTCAAGAGCTCACTTCACATAAAAATGTAAAGTTATGTTGTTCTCATGGTAATCTCGGAAAAGCTTCTTAAAACGCTTCCACGCAACTGTTGCTGGAGGTTTTATTTATTTTATTTTCATATTATGTATTCATTTAATTCGTGACCACCAACTAACACAATAGAAATTTTTGTTGTGAATAAGTATAAAATAAAATCCTTTCAAATAGATAAATGATGAACTCTCTAAACAACTCAATTTGTAAATGTTGAAAATTGTATTTGATTTCCATGTTCTTTAAAATTTTCAATAGTCAGATTTTACAATTTCATTCACACATGACATTACCACATTCTATGTAAATTATTGAATTCAACATTAACGAGTCTCTAAAAAAATAAAAAATCTTTTCAATTTTGTGACTCAATAAACGAGAATGTTGAATATAAATTGCACTTATTTTCCGATAACGTGATGTTTCGCTTGACTTCATGCTATCTTCTATTCAAGATTCAATATTTTCTGTTCGTTAAAGCGTCACAAACATGTGTTTGCTACTTCATTGAAGTGTACAAAGAGACATTTCCTTTCAAGTTAATCGAAATGTCTTGCTTCTAAGACTTAGAAGATAAAGAGTTTAGTCTAAAAAAATATTTAACTTTGCTTAACACTTGATAGAAATATGAATAATTGACCCAAATTCTCTCATTCGAATTTGTTTGCAATGCTCAAACGTGCCGAAAGAATTAGCCTTTAATTCTCTCGTCTTAAAAATGGAATTTATTCACTCTCTATGATATCATTTTATGTATTAACTGTGTCATCCTTCTTTGTTAAGCTGAAGTGTTTCCATATCTTTTTAGTAGATAACAGGAAATTCTCTTTGGTGATTGTTGTTATCATCATGAAGAGGAATACAAAAAGTAAAATAAATTTTCACAGTATTTTCCTCATTGTTGTTTTATATCCCGATAGTAACAGATGTCGGAAGACGTCACGTGAGAGTTTTTCTCATGAGAAACAAATATCGTAATTCCTATTTAAGCTAAAGTATACATAATAATCCACACAGGAACCGGCATCAAGAACATTCTGTCACCGTGGTTACGCATAAATTTCATTTCGTTTGTGGCGAAACTAATTTTTTCTGCGGCTTTGCTTTCATTTATAATTCAAAACGGTTTAGCTTGAACAGATGGTGATAAGTGAAAATGACATAAAAACACAATAACTTATTCCATTTATCTAATTTTTTATCATAATGTGAATCGCTTAAAACATATCCTCAAATTCAGCATCTCCATGGAGTGAAATTATCAAATTAGCGTGAATTCCAACCAGAGTAACTCTTGTTTGAGTAAAATAATGAGCTCGTTAAACTTTTCATTTGTCCTACGGTTACTGTTTATGTCAGATCTCTGTTCTCTCTCCTTTTGTTATTTCCATTTGAATGCAAATATTTACGAAAAAAGTAAGCTGGGGCTACCCATCATATTTTTAACAAATTTATTCATAATATGGAAATTTTTCTTCTCCATTTTTTGTTGAAACTTTTTTCATTTTTGACAAAAAAGGGGCGCATTTTAGCTTTTCATGTAACTTGAAACTTTAAATTTGAGTTGCATTAAAGAAAAAGGGATGAGCAAGTATCGTCGTATCTCATGTTTCCGTCATGTCAAAAGCAATATTAAAAGCAGTTTCTGTTTGAGAAGCTTAAATAGATTTTCTAGGATTGCCTTCAAACCATCTCACAAACAAAATTGAGAAACTTAAAGATAGAAAACGACGAGAAAAATCATTAAAAAACATATGTTGTTCTAGCTATTTTCATGAAGATCCGAAATGTGAAATTTTGCAACCGGAATAAGCTCAAAAGCTTATTGACAAGCTTGGTGAAAATGAGAAAAGAAGCTATGAAAGAAGAATAAAACTTTTCACTTTTATTACATTTAAATTTTATTTGATTCATTCCCAAATGTTTTCTTATTGCCTTAGCATGACGGAAGTTCTCACAATTATCTAGATATTTACTTAAAGAATTTGCATTGAAAGAATTTAATAAAAGAAAAGTAAATGTCTTTTATTGATAAAGCAACAAACGAAGAAAAACAGTGTTTTCATAATTCTACGTTTTTTTTCGATTTCAATTCAATTCGTACGTAGAGAAAATAATAAAATTTTCTATTTCAAATTTCCGGTTGCTTGAAAATTCTAAATTTACCACAAATTCAATTCGGAAACGGAAAAAGACTTGAGTGAGTTGAAGGAGAAAATTGTTTCCTTTTCGTTAAAAGTTAATATTTTAATATCACAATAATTAAGACCACATCCTGTTAAAGATTGACTCATTCATTTGAAAACATTTTTCATTCCAACAAGCTATTTCCCTCAGGGGTAAAAAGTAATTATAAATCTTTGTATCTGTAAAGAATGCTAGGTCGGTAGTTTAAATGGGTAATGTAATTAAAAGACAAGCAACTAGAAATATTTAATCACCATAATTTTTCCTTTGCATTCGAATGCATGTTTTTGCCAATTCAGGCTTTTCATCACAGAATAATTCATTTAAAATTCTATCCAATCACTAACCCTACATATATTCTCAATCGAGGTGTTATAATTTTTCAAAGTGAAACGAAAATTTAGTATCCATTTTAACATGTTTGTATTTATGTATAAGCAATATTTATTTAATTACTGTGGTTGAGATCGCACACTTACAAATATTTAATTAATTAATTAAAAAAAAAAGATTAAAAAGGAGAAAGCATTATATTCACGCTTTTCATAATCACAAGTCATCCTTATAAAACCATAGCATATAATTTCTTCACAATTTATGTTATTTACTTTCTCAGATCTTTTTTAACGTAGGAAAAATTTGTCGCTATGTTTTCTTATTTATGTCATAAAGATAGAGATAAGTAAATGAAAAAATTTAAAATGATCTTATATCTCGTCCGTTGGGCATTGTAAGTAAATTCTTAATTAAGAAAGGGAAGAAATAGATTTTTTTACGTATAACAACCAGGCAAAACATCCTTAGAGTTTCCTGGAATGCCTTTCCCTCTCTAGAGAATGTCTCTTCATATCTTGAGTATTTTAAACTTTTTAAGCGTCCGCAGACTGAAGGATGCCAAAGACAAAATATTACGAAACAAAGAAAAAGGGAATGAAATTTAATATCAGAAATTCCATTCCATTTCCGCTCTTTTTCAAGAATGCCGGGAAAATGACAAATAATCAAGTGAAGACTGAAAGAATCCTATTGATTGTACAATATTGAGTTTCAGAATAATAAAATAAATTATGAATTCCATTTGCGTTTAATGGTATTTTAATCGATTCAACGCTTTCAGCTTCATGAAAGCGTCAGCTCTTAATCCTAAACCAATGAATTATTTTATTGGGAAAATCCTCCGGGTGCTTGAGATGCTAGGGTAGGAAAAGAACGGAAAGAAAACGAGACTCTGAAAAATGAAACATTTAAGTGTGTATGTGGAGCTCAAGGAATTATTATGCATAAAAAGAAGCATTTTAATTTACATAAATATTTGAATTGTCTACACTTTGACTTCAAAAGAAATTCTTCAAATATATTTTAATGATAAGCGAAATTCAAATCAACACTCAAACGATGAAGTCATTTCAACTTTAATGGGGGCAGTGAGAGATTAGCTTGACAAGTGAAAGAAGAAGATTAAGAAAAATAATAAAAAGACGGATCCTGAAGAATTCATAAAAATCTTTCATATAACATAGATATTGTTGCTCTGATTAATGACTGAAATATATCCTACCATATTATCAACTTCAATCTTCTTTTAGTATTCTATTATAATTATGCTGACAGTTCGATATGCTGTCCATTTTTCATTGTTGTGTCTCATGTACTTTTGGTTGGATATTCGCAATCGAAACAGTTTTTTTTTTCATTTCTCTTTTTCCTAGATTTTTGTTTCGTAATGAAAGAAATGGATTAACGAAATAAGCATGCTCGTTTGAAAAGAAATAAAAGCTCGGCAAAATGCCTAGGGAATCTCAATCCTTGTAGATCTTTTTCCTTATTTTGTGAGCGTCATAAAACAACCATAATCATCGTGTTTGCGATATTTAATTTCCCATTATTTCTAAAATAATCTGAAAACTTCCCATTTCAAAATTTTGATGTCGAAGAAAGCTGAGAAAAAAGAAAAATCACTGTGGTTTCTGCACAAATTATTGAACGATAGTTTAAATTCAAATTTATCCTAACTATTGTGGAGAACCTTAAAAAATAACTATTCAAGAAAAACAAAATAATTCTTGTAAATTTGAGTAACGTATATAAATGCTTAAACATTTTAATTAAACCCTTTATGTAGCTTATGGGTAAAAAAATTCACTTTTTCTAAGGTCTTTGAAGTTTGAAAATCATGTGAAGTAGAGGAAAAAGCTTTTTGTTCTTTTAATATTCAAAGCATTTTCAAAAACTTTTTTCTTCTGCGAACGAGTAACGATATTAATATTATGAGTGATTCTTCCTTTTTGTTCACATTTGCTGTTTCATAAACATTATTACATAGATTTGACTTGAGATTTGATTATTAAAGTTATTTTGTTTTCTTTAATTTTTTCTAGGTTTCAGTGCCTATAGTCAGTAATGATAGATGTAAAACAATGTTTCTTAAAGCTGGTCGTCATGAATTTATCCCAGAAATATTTTTATGTGCGGGTCATGAAAAAGGGTGAGTTTAGTACATATATAAATTAGATGAAACAGAAGTAAATAGTTGAAATGTTTATTTTTTAGACAATCAGATTCATGTCAAGGAGATTCTGGAGGACCTTTACAGGTGAGAATGGTTCGATAATATCTTAGGCAGATTTTGATGAAATAAGATTAAATTTCAAGAAATCCACTTCTTTTATTATTAACCATTTTAAAAATCTGTTTAACTTGAAATTTAATCTAATTTTCTTTATAGATACTATAAAAAATAATTTGATATTATACTGAAATCAACCAAATTTATTCAATGTGCAATATAAAGCGTAGAATCCCAACTGTCAAATATACGCTCTAACCGTAGCATATCAGTTACCGTTGATTTTCAATAAATTTCTATTGCCTCTTGAATTTTATATTAGCTTAGAATTGTTTTTAGATTTTTTATACACAGAAGGTGAAGCATGAAATGAAAAATCTTCCTTGTCATGTGGTTACATTTGGTTTCATGATAAATTACCTGCCGCGTCGCTCTTGGCATTTTAATATGCTTTAAATGTTTTCAATCTAACTGAAGTTTTTGATTTATGTATTTTTGTTATATTTTTCTCTCTTGCACAATCGTAGGTAAAAGGCAAGGATGGGCATTATTTCCTAGCAGGCATCATCTCATGGGGAATCGGATGTAAGTGCCAACAACTTAACTGACATGTAATCTATTAAAATTTCAATTCTCTTTATCATTTCTACAGGCGCTGAAGCTAATCTTCCCGGGGTTTGTACAAGGATATCCAAATTCACACCCTGGATTCTTGAAAACGTTTCATGATAACCGGAAATGAATCACCAGAAAGAAAGGAAGAAGAAAACGCGTCCTACAAAATTTAATTTCTAGTGAAATTATTAAATTGAAAGAAAAGACCAACTGACAACAGTTGTCATCATTAAAATAAAATGAATTCATAATTCGTATTCGGAAGATTTGAGTTCGGGTCAACGTATTTATAAATCATTTCTTGCCCTTAGCTTCTGTAAATAATGTTATAAATAAAAGAGAATAACATCAAGACATATTTTTGAGTGTGATGAGCTAAAAATGTCTTGAGGATAATAAAAAGAAAGTTAATTATGTTGCTAATTTATTATAACTTAGGATCATCCTCAAAATTATGATCAAAAAATAGGCACGAAATGGGACGAAAGTAAATTTACGTGCTAATGAAAAATGATTCTCATTGCTACAAGCAAACAGTGGAAAAAGTTGTTGAAATTGTAAACCTCATTTCTAGTGAAGAGAAAAAAATTAGTTATGTGTATGTGTGTGTTTGTGTGTGTTTGCGTAAGATTATTTGGAAAAGGCGAGACTATAGCGAAGTCCATTATGAATGTTTTAGTCTTAAAGGATTATTAATTAACCATCCTAATGAATAATTTGAAAAGATGAAGGCATAATTAGAGTACGATTACATCAAATGTCAATTAATTAATTCAAGACAAAAATTGAAAAAGAAGCTTTTAGCATGAAGCGAAAAATGTGATTAAGTTGTAGATAATTAGGACGCAAATATATCGTTAAAATGGAGAAAACAGAATAACTTCAAGATTCAACTAAGTTACACTGCCTTAGGAACAGTTATAACTTATCAGATAACAAAAACAAATCTACGTAGCTTAAATCTACTTAAATATAACCACAACTTAATTTATGAGCTTTCTGTGGCATTGAGTCGTATTATAGAAATAATTTCAAAACCCCAATTAAATTTCTTCTAAACACAAGAACATATTTATCTATATTCAACTTTGTATTAAATCAACAAAACACGTCTCATGCAAACTTGTCAAATATCATTCCAGTACTTACAATGCAAATAAATTACGGAAGTTTCATGCTTCAAGCAGCATTGGCAGAATTTGTGTTTTTCATATACTTTTATTTTATTCTTATTAGATAATTATGAGAGATTTTAAATAAATTTCAAAATTGGAGATAAATTGAAGTTTTATTAACTTTTTTGTCATTCTAAGAATTTTTCATGTCTAAATTAAATACAAAGTATAGAGAAACAAATTTATTAACATTAATTTCGAATTACAGCATAAGGATGAAACTTCATAAGTATCTATTATGAAAAAACAAAACGTTGATAGCATCAGACGTCAACGTCGGAAAAGGTTGAAGAAGTTTGAGTTTGAACGATTTTTGGGTGTATCTTGGTAACAAAAGATAAACATCCTTTGAAAGGGTTTCCGTTCAATCAAAATTAATAATTTTTTATTTCTAGAACTTCAATGACTTCAATACCTTAATAAGATTGATATCGAAAATATCAAATGATGAAATTTTGAAATTTTCAAGAAATGTTCTGAAAAAGACATAATTTGATATTTTAATTTGTTTTATTCACCAAATAATGACATAATCATTTTATTTGAATTGCTTTATTTTAGAAAATAAATGGAAAAATTAATTGAGACAAATTGCACAACGACCCTTATTTACATCGCTTTTGGTTTCTTGGAAACAGGTCTGCATGCTGCTTCAGCAGATTTCTTCCATACGACGTACAATAAATGTTTCTTACAGGTAGAAATATCTAAGTATTCTGTAATCATTTCTTCTTAAATTGAATCTTCACAAATGTTCTTATATAAATTGAGTTCATAAATCATAAATATTGTTCTGTTTATTTTTGCAATCGTTAAAAATTATTTTATTGCCTGGAACTTTTGAACATCAAAATTTAAATGAAATGAAATAGCAAAGATAGGAAGTAATATATGATTTGTAATATCAAAATAACGACTGATAAAGTTTCTAAATTTAAAAAAACACGGACTGTGTTTATAAAACAACCAAAACATCCTAAAATAGACAATTTAAAGAAATTAGAATTTTCCAGATATACCTACTTGATGTTTTTATTTATTTTCACTGTTGAGATATCTTCAAAATAAGCTTACTTTTTAATTTTCCTATAAACAAGTCCATTTATAGATAAATTTACATGAAAATTTCAAAGTTAAAACTTCTACAAAATAAACAAGTTGTTGTTGGTTTCATTCTATGCTTCATTGCTATAGCAATACATTTGCGCAGAAAGTTGCGATGAGGTGATCTGATTGTTAATTGATTTGCCAGTGTAAGTTTCTTTCTAAACAAACAAAACGATTTCGAATTCGTCACCGAAGCCAAGTATTTTCAATCAACGCTAGTTGTATTGAAATTGTATTCGTACCAAAGAATCAGTTTGATGTGAAATTTCACTAGGAGAACATCAGAAAAGATAAATTAAAATAAATTCTGAAATGACTGAAGTTAGTGAAACATTTTTCATTTCGCTCCCAAAGCCAAAATTAAATAAAATCGAAAAAGAAAAGGAACATGTGATTGCTGGTCATCCGATACTGAACTACAGTTTTGTTGATAAGCTGTGGTCGTTTGAAATCGCAGGTGGAGTCGATCAACATGCACCTTTAACAGTTATTAATGTGAAGAAAAATGGCTTAGCGAAACGATCCGGAATTAAAATCGGGGATGAAATTATGTACATTAATAATATTTCAACGGAAAACATGACACTGTTGGAAGCACAAGTTGAGATACAAGAAGCTGGAAGATCTTTAAAAATTATTGTTCGTGGGTGAGTGAAAGTTTCAGTTTACATCAGACAATGGTAAAACTTCCAAAATAAACTTTAGTGATAACGATGAAAGCAGCAATAGCAGTGAAGATGAGGCGACCGTTGACTTTTGGTTTAAACCTAGTGAGATTTAAATAAAATAAGCTTAAATGAGAGCAACTAACTATCAACAATTTATTCTTATATGTTCAAACAGTGAATTCACAACAGCTTGACTTGGTAGAATGGTATAAAAAACGGGAAGAAAAGCGAAGGGTGAGTATCATAGACATTAATTATATTCACATTCCGCTATAAATTTCAATCTCATCTTAATTCCCAAGATGACACAACAACTTTATCAAGGATTTCCTTGGAATGATCGAAAAAAGCCCAATTTACGAAGCTCAAATTGCTTCATGGCTGTAAATAACAAACCTCAAGAGCGCGAAATTAAATTGAAGGTCAGCAAGGAGCGGTACATTGAAAATGAGAAAGAACGACTAAGTGAAATTGAAAGCAAAAGATTATTTTATTGAAAAGTAGGTTGAATTGACTAATTGTCGAAGTGATTGATTGGCAGAGTCGTTGACTATATAGCGTAACTTTAAATGTCATCAAAATTTTCCTTTGATTTTGTAATAAAGAAAATTAAGTGAATGTGACTAAATTTACAGATTCTACCCAGATGGAAATTCTCTTTCTGCCTCATTTAAAACACTCCGTCTATTAAGAAGCCTTAATCTTGAACTACAATAAGATATTTGAAGTGTAAAGACGAAGTGTTCCAATTTGTCTATTTATAAGATGTGAATAAATTTGATTTAAAAAAACCTCGTCGATGTTTTGGCGGCGTCTTTGCTTGAATTGTTGGTTTCAGAGTTAAACTATTTAGATATTTTTTGTTCGAGACATCTCATGAGCTTGAATGTTTATTTTTGTTCCAAAAATATGTGTTTAACATTACGTATTTTATCCGATTCGTTAAAATGTAACCAATATTTAAAGGAAAAGTTGACGGAAAACTGTTGCATATTGAGAAGCATATGACTAAACTTTTTCCAATTTTCCACTCAGAGAGAATTTTTTCATTTCCAATGGATTTTTCCAATATCCTTAAAATCTCATGAAAATATAAAAGCAAAGAATTCAGTGAGTCTCTTCTCATTCGCGGTGTAACTTTGAAATTGTTAACAGTAAAGTTTTTACGCAATTCTGGATACGTGAAATGTGTGAGATTTCAAATAAATACTGTAAGGATTATCAATCGTACACTCAGTGAAACTGTGAAATGTGAAAAGCTGAAGTAAAAAGATATTGTAGGATATTAAAACTCCTTGGAACTTGTACATTACTTGTATGTTTTCTGGCACATATTTTTCATGATTTATTGAGAATTTCATCGAGTTTTCGATATGACACAAGAAAATGAAAAAGTTATAATGAAATTCTTTGGAGTCGCATTCGAAGCAGATGTATTTTTAATCCATTTATAAAATTGGCACGGATTTGAACTCCTTTTCTATTTTCTTCGATTATGAAGAAATAAAATTCCAGTTTATTGACCTTTTTTCAGCTTTTTTTTTTAAATTTCTATCTCAAATACTGATATCAACAGAAGAATAAATTTTGGAAACGAATCAAGAAATCCGGACAGAAATTATTTTCTGTCAACGACAAAACCGAAAAAAAAACTTTTCAATGGGAACTATAAGTAAAAATTGATGTCGTAAAGTCTGCACACAAGTCCGTAAAAGCATTTTAGAACTTTATTTTATGAGCATGTTTATGATTCTGTTTGCTTTGCAATGAAAAAAAAGTGTTGAGTCGAGATTTGGCATGATAAGTTGTAAGTGTAAAACACACGATTGTTTGTTGTTTTTGGCAACTTAAAGCAACTTATTTAAAGCTGAATGCTAATAATTTCATTTCATATATGACAATAACTTTCTTATGCAAAGTATATATGATAAGTATTCAAAATTATATTTAAGTGCATATTTACGTGACAAAATATCAACATATATTTAAAAAGAATCGTCAACTTAATGCTGCCATTTCTTTCTTTAGCATTTTTAGAGACAAACACACACGTTATTTGAATAAATTATAAAAGAAAGTTTTCAAAGGATTCCGCAATCATTTTCCCCTTCAGGAAAGAGTCATTATTTTATGACTTAATTGCTTTCATATTGTTTATAATGAAGCACGTTAACATGCACGCTTAAAGATGAAGTTACTTCAAAACATAATTCAACATAACAGTGTCTGTTGATGGTATATTATTTCTCCTCACAAAGGATTCTATTTATAATAAAGTTTTAATCATATAAATGTTGTTTAATTAATGCTTCGTTGTCATCAACTTTTTTATTGTTTAAATAGGCTAAAATAAAAGAAAAAACATTCTTTTTAAATTGCGTGACGATTTTCCAACGACACAAACGTCAATCTCAATTTTCCTGTTGTCGTTTCCGAAGCCAACAAATCATGTCGATGTTGACTGAGTGGTTTCGGTATTGTTACGTTTTTATCTGTTTACACTCCGAGAGAGTCAAACGACTCCCTAGGCTATTTAAAGCGCATAATTTTTTTATGGATATTTTATGATGATTGTTCCTTTTCGTCTCTCTTTATTGATGTCCCCACTTTTCGTAAATGTCATCTGGAAAAACAAAAACGTTGAGTTGAAAAAGTTTGCAGCATCATAAAACTTATTAATAGGCCTTTGTATCCCATGGCGCCATCCGAGAAATGGTAATGTAGAAATTAGTGTTATGTATTCATCGTTCATGATTGCAGATATTTCTTTCAGTGCCTTTTTGGGTAATTATTTAATATCTTCTTTTATTTCTGTTTTAAAGCTGCAAGAAAAATAATTGATTTCTCGATTACTCTCCAAATATTATTGTTTGAACGCTTTCCCAAAATGTTGTTTACAAATATTGGATGAAAATAATATCGCGTTACAAATTTTATGAGGGTGAAACGATAAAATTGCCTAGAAAATTCCAGTAGGTATTAATTCGACTTGCCTGTTTAATTGCTCATAAAATTAGCGTTCAAAAAATAGAACTCGTAAACGGATTAAATTTATAACCATGATTGATGTTTAGTATTAGAAATTAAATCGCTTCTTTACACATCTTCCAATAGAATGAGAAAATAAGAAGAAACCACCATTTTATCAATTGCTCTCTTAAAATTAAGTGTCAGAATGTGAAAACTTTGATAAATTTTACTTTATTATTAATCATCCCCATGTGCCCACGACAAAGTTGACAGAAGAATCATCTCATCTCATGAAAAATTCATTAAATATTTTTCCTGTCACCTCCACAGGTTCAACATAAATTCCATGTCCTTAACGAAGAAGATATCAAAATTTTGTGACAATTTATTTTTGTGATAATGATGTCAAAATGCACAAGAGTACTTTTCGTAACTTTATGATGTGATTATGGGAAAAGTTCAAAAATGTGAAAAAAAGACAAACAAACTTTATCTAACATTTTAATAATTTCTAATGAAATAATAAAAAAAAGGCTCGGAAAAGTTTTTTCTAGCAAGAAGCCGAAATAATTTTTGTCGTTAAGCAAAAGAAGGAAATTACCCGAAGCATCATGAATTTCATAAAAAACGCTTTATTTTATTTATTGCTGCAAATTTTTGAAGTGAAAACTATAGGCAGTGCTGAAAACTTGGAACAGTGTGTGACAAAAGTGGGAAGTTCACTTTCAGACTCATATGAAAGCACAAAAAATTTATTAAAGTTGATCGATCAAAGTTCTGTTATACTTAAAGCATTTTGCAGTGGAAATTTAATGAACATTGCAGATTCAAGCAGTAACGATGACGAAAAAACGAGAGAGTTAAAGGAATCGGAGAAGAGCTTTGAGCTAGAAAATGATGATTATTATGATGACTATTACTTCTATAAAAACGGCGGGGAGGAGAAACTCAAGTTATTGATGACATTCACGCCGATAACTATTTTTAAAGGAACAAGCATTTTGCGAGAACTCGAATCATTCAACACTCAAGAGTATTTTCTCATTAAAGGGTGAGTGGAAATGAAATGAAATATTTATATATTGCTTTGGAATAATAAAAATCATTCCACGTTTTTCCTCTTACGTCGTAATATTATGTCGGTGTTATAAGTCACACATTAGTTCATCTTGATTTCATTTCCTCATGACCATACGATGTATAAACAAGATAAAAAGTGTTTGATGTTGGTTCTTTGTTGACTATCATGCTCTATATTGCTAAATAGATTATTCCAACATATTACTTACAATACCTCGAGCTATTAATGTTACAATGTTGTTGGAGGAAGCAAAGGAAATTCTCTTCATTTTATGAAAATAGATGTTTAGTAACAAGGCCTTTGTAAGCTCAATTTCTTAAATATCATTTATGTATAAATTGAAATCTTACCTTGGGCTGTTGATAAAAAATGTTCGTAACCTTTGTTGTTTCAAAGAAACTGTCTCATGTTGAACCGTTCATATTTTTGCATTTCAACAAATTTCAAAATTTCAAAAAAAAATTTAAATATCTATCTAGAATTATTTTCTGGCTTGCAAGAACAGACATTAAAGACGAATTTTTAAAATATTCAAAAATCACATGATGTATCGAAAATATTTCTAACGAATATTTCTTTTTTTTCCATGCTTTTTTAATTCAATTTGATTTGAAAGAAGAGAAAAAATTGTGATTTCTACTTTAAAATTATGAGAAACACAAATTTTCATATTTCGTAAGTTACGACTCAACAACATGTCTTTATTAATCCTTTTCGAATGAAAAGAATTTAAAACAAGGATTAAATAAATTAAAATATAAATATCTAAATATATGTAGAATTTCTTTGTAAATAAAAAATATGCAAAAATTTCATGTCAAAATGTGTTAACTTCTACAGATGAAGAAGCTTTCCTTCAAATTCAAATTTTGAATCCAATTATCCCACCTGATTCGCGTTTCTGAGCACGTTTTCTCAAATTTAATCATTTCAAATGATGATTTCAAGGATATCTCGATAAAGTGAACATGATGAAACTTAAAATTTGCTTCAAAATATTCATAAATTATTTTCTTTATCTTTTAACCAATTTGTAATGAAAATTTTCTAAATCATTTTATGTTTTTATTCGAACTATGTACATACATATTTCAAGTTTCTATTAAGAACTTTATATAGAGAACGAAACTTTGAACTTATTCATATTTTTATTCATATTCTTTGCCTTAAAAGCTTCATAAATCTAAATATTTATGGAAATATAAAGAAAATATTTGACATCGTTTTGGCTTCTTTTTCTTTTTTTTCTGTAGACAACTCAATGCAACTTTAGTCCTTGGGCAGAGCGACAAAATTCAATATCAGAAAAAGTGTTACAGCAATCAAAGTATTAATGAACAACTCCAAATATTGAACGAGAATCATTTGATTGAACGGCAGATTCGCACAGTTGTTCCTGGTCAACTTATATTATTCGGAAAATTGGACCAAAAAAATGGTCAATCGAGGCAACGTCTGGTAGCAAAAACTAGTGGCATTGTTCGATGGAATTCACATCTGGAAAATTTCATCTGGAATAATCTTGGTAAATATAATTTTATCTCCCTAAAGTTACAATGCTCAAAAAATTATACACGTAGTAATAAAATCATTAATTTAATATTTCACCTTGGATTAAAGCTCGGAATTAATTTATTTTGTTTAATCCCTTTTTTTTGGAAAATTAAGTATGAAGGTAACGTTTTCTTCTGAAGTTAATTAATCGAATTTTAATTAATTTTTTCATATCCTTACTTACCAACCTATGTATATGAATAGGAAGAATATGATGTTAATTAATATGAATGTTAACAAATGTTTCCTACCTTCGCAATGTACAAAACAACCTTTTTCTCGATTCTCATGAGAATAAATAGATTCACAAATCTATAAAAGATACGATATTAATTTAAACACATTTACAAGAGCTTTTATCATTTAATCTTTTGCACGAATTTTCATTACAAGTGCTTCCAACATTTAATCTTTTACACAAAATTTCATCACGTTTCGATTGTGTTTAATAACTTCGATCAATAAATTAGAAGGTTCATCGATTGTACGAGTATGTACATGGTGAGCATAATAAATATCTCCATTGTATGTTACAGATTTAAGAAACATTACGTATCTTGTTTCCTTTTAAGAATAGAAGACATGAATATGAGAAAGAAGATGAAACGAGACTCCTTGAAAGACGTTTTTGTACCTAAATAGATAATTGAGCTTTTTAAACATTTTCATCAATGTGAAATAGATACATCACCGGTGTTGTGATAACATGAATGACACTTTCTCGCACATCATCTGGATAAGCAAAATTGAAATGTTTCGTTGAATTTTAAATTTCTTACTGAATTACTTTGAATCTTCAACTTTCACTTAAGATTTTCATTTTCATCTTTAACTGTTTTCTATCGTAGCAGAAATGTCTGCTTAAGCTTCTACTTAAATTTTATATATCTACTTATATAAGAAAAAGTTTTTAAAAGCCACTTGAACGAGATAAAAAAAACTACTTTGACTTAGATATTCCATATTGCTTCATTTAACTATGAAATGAGTTTAAATTCTCTTTTTAAACTCACTAATAAATTATCTTGAAAAACAAGATAGCAGCTTCTCTTTTTTATATTTAACATGGACGTGTTGGCTAAAGCTTTTAAAGACAAAAATTGCGGAAAAATAATTCGTTAAGAGTTTTTTCTTATTAGATATTTTTGATGTATTTCTATGCGCCTTTGCTAAATTTTCCTTTTGTTTCTGATTTCTTTGCTTTGCTTCTACTTATTGCTTTGTTATTCAATATCATTCAATATCAATGAATACGACTTTAATGAACATTAAATCTTCTTGCGATGTTCAAGAATATTTCGATTGAAAAAATTCTTTCTGTAAAAGGCTCTAAAATGCTACAGACAAAAGAAGAAAAGGAAATATTTTCTATGCATTTCAATTACATTTTCATCTTTGTTCTTTAGAGGGATTGATTGTTAAAGATGAAAAGTTTCTGACTTTTTTTTCTATTTCTCTTGTCAGCCACATTTTCATTTTCAAAATCATTTTTCTCTTCATCACATCAGGATGGAGTAGTTGGGGAAAATGGAGTCCGTGTTCATCATCATGCAAAGGCATTCAACAGCGTTATCGTCATTGTCTGAAGAAGAAGCAGAACAAAAGCAACGAAGAAATGAGTGACGAGAACGACTATGAATCAGCAGGATCACGAAATGCAATTCAGCATTTGTGTAATGGATACAACATTGAACAACGTGATTGTAATTTGTTTGAATGCAAAGGTAAGAAAAATAAGTCATTAATTTGATAATTAAAAAAACGAAGATATCTGCTTTACGTTCTCGATTCCTAATTTTACTATCTACTTAATATTTCGAATATTTTTAATCGAATGCTTAAATTTGGCATAAATAAATTTATTTTAGATAAGTAATTACAATGATAACAATTGTGTATTGTTTTCTTGTCATTTCCAATCATTTCTTCGATGAACTTCTTAAATTTGCTAAACATCTCAGAATTATTATCTTCTAAATATTAAATGAAAATCTCTACAGATAAAATCATTTCTGAAATACTTTAAGGAACAAAATACTTTTCATATTCCATTACAGTCTTACACGTTATTCTACAACACGAGAAATTTAAGATAATTTTTTTCGTCAACAGATTGAAAACTTTGTTTATAAACTTTTTTTCACAGGATACTTGAATTATTCAGTTTGGTTTTTTTCGACTTCACTTCTTAACCCACCCACATAGATTAAAGTTTTACTAAGATATCTTAATAAATAATATTTAGATATCCTGAAAGTTTTTGAGACTTTGAATCCTCTGCAGAATGCTTTTTGTTTAAGTAACTGAGAGAAGAAAAAAAAATTAGTTTTCCATGATTAATTTCCAACAGCAAAAAAGTTCACTCATGTTGAAGACGCACGACGAAAAAGAAGAAAATAATTTCAAAAGAAAAGCCTCAAGTCGCTTCTTCTTTTTAACACTCTCATCGTGTTGGAAGATAACTTGAGATCAGAACACATACCAACTGCTAAAACAGTCATTAATCATTTCATGTGGGAAAGTGAGTTTATTGTTTGCCTTTTGAAAAGGGAAAAAATCCACTTTTTCCTTGTCACCGAACTTCAAGTGGATACACAAATAAAGAACAGACCAAAAATCTCACAAACGTGCACTTTGTTAAATCCTTATCATACATCTTTTATCTTCACAACAGACGCTGTTAATCTTTTGTCATTGGTGAATGACACGAAGTTGAACATGGCCGCGATAAGTGCCCACATCAATCAAGCTTTCTTTGGAAAAGATTTCACTATCATGTTTACAATTAGAGCCAAGGTACTGTCTCCTTTTTCCTTGTAATAGATGAATGAAGAAATTCCATGATAAATGATTATGTCATACATGCAGGTCAACAGACATATGCAGATCTATGACAATGAACATCTGATATCATTTAGATCATCGTCCAATGAACATTCTAGTCTAACAATTACTTTGATTGATACTGGTATTAAAGTGGTCCAAGAAAAAGATGGAACATCTGAAATGTTTGACATTAAATTAAAGTTCTTTGACTTGCATTGGCATCAAATTGCTTTCAGGTAAATTCAGTCATCAATAAATTCATCTAATAAGCTCTCTTTTTAATATACTTTTTCCTTCTTTTCGTTTATAAAGTTTTCGCAATGATGGTTTAATAACTTGCTTTGTCGATTGCAACTGGGACAGTTCATTTATTATGGCAAAAGGTTCATTTGAAGTACCACCGGATGTTCGCATCGAAATGAATTCTAAATTAAGAGACTTAATTGAATGGAAGCAATTAAGTTTGGTTTTGGGGAACCATGAACGCGCACAATGTTCCAGCGAAAGAAAGTTGATTTTTGATAACAATAAACTTTTAGAGAAATTGTTCAATGATGAAGCAAATTAATCAGATTGTTCTCTCTTGCGTCTTTTAGAGTGAGTGAGAAATTTGTTTTGTGGGCTCATGGGGTGAAAAAAAATTTGCGATGGGGTGTCGCTTGATTGACTTTATATTTATTCGTCATCCGTCCGTAACAAAAAATAAAGTTTCTTAAAGGATCGGAATGTTTTTATCCAACAATGAAAATCTACAACAGTAATCTTAGGATTCAATGTTTGAGCTCCATAAACATAAAGAAAGGCACACAAAGGAAAAGAAAAAAGGGTGGCAATCAAGTTTACCATCATCAACAAAGACTCGTTCAAATGAGATGTTAACAACGACTAAAAACAATAAGTTACTATGGCCTATGAGAATACGTAAAGAAAGGAAAGTCATGAACTCACTTGGTGCATCTGAGAAAGATTTTTACAATGAAAAGAAATAACATGACTTTAAGATGATGAAAATGAAAACATTTATTTATTTACAACGAACATATTTTTCAAAAATTGTAATAAAAATATTGAGAGTTTAAAACTATTTTACTCGCATTATTGAATTTGTCATTAGTAATCCTAAGAAGAGTTATGCGTGTATCAAGCTTTTAATAAAACTAAAAATCCTTTCCAAATAAAAAACTTACAAAATTTTGTAAATTAACAACTACAAGAGTAAAGTATCAAATAAATAAATATCTATGAAAAAAAAGCTCGAAATCCTCTTTTTTAAATACATTTTCAAATAGTTTCCAGATAGATAAGAAATGTTCTTCAAGAATGGAAAAATAGTATTTGTTTTTCTATTAGAAAACTTTTACATAATCCATGGAGATTTGCTTGGGACTTTGGATATTTTCTAATCAGCTTTATTTCTTTCGCTTTCAACAATCATTAAAATATTTTCTAGCAAAAACGGAGATTTTCTTGCTGAATCAAACTGCTTATCTTGTATAAATTTCACAGATTTATATTCTTTAATAAGTTATTTAATTAAATAGACTGAAATTCTTTTATCTATTAGATGATAAGTATCATCAAATCAATTAATTATGATTGAAGTTATGTACAAACATAATTATTTATATAGCTCACCGGATTTTTCGTAAAAAGGTCAAGATTATATTTTGAAATGTATCACAAATTAAATCAATAAATGATGGTAATGAATCTATATGAAAGTTTATAAAGCATTCATATTTATATTAAGTAAGCGCAATGCTTAATTGATGACGCAACATAGATATTAAACAGAATTTTTCTTAGATAACGTTCACATTAAGAAACGCAGTTTATTGATATTATTACTAATTCAAGAAGTTTCGTTGCGTTGTTTTTAGAATTTATAATTCTATAATCTTTATTTCTTAGCTAATGTTACATGTACGTCATTTATTTCTTGCCATCGTGTAAAAGATAAGATCACTACTTATTAGAAATTACGGCAGAGCTTTCCAATGATTCATTATATTGTTTATTTTTTATTTAAAAATACATTTTAAATGTCAAGCGATAACTCACATACCTATTTATCTCAAGTACCGAAACATTATCATAAATGGAATTACAGTAGAATCTTGATAAATATAACGATGTTGAAAATCTCTCGTTGTATCAAAACATTTTGCTCAAGATTTTGAGCCAATTGCATCATACTATCGAGAATATCGTTGTATCAAGACCGAGTTATATCAAGAATCCCCTGTAATCATTAATCAGATGTTTTATTATTCAAATTTTTAAGTTGCTTGTAGGATTCTTTGATTTTCCAGACAGTCTTTCGAAAGTCGTTTTTCCACAAGAAAGAAATGATCCAACCAATGTTTGCCTTCTCGAAATTTTCTTGAAAAAACTTGGATAAAACTCGATACACAACCTGAATATTATTTATAAATAATAGAAATTATTTCAAAATTGATAATTTGAACAATTTTTACTTCACTGGTTCCACCTTTGTCGAAATGATCTTCTCTCATTCGATCCACAAACAATGTATCAATTTGTAATAAGATTAAAAACTCTCTCCACCTCGAACCAAACTCTTCAGACACAATATTCAGAAAGATTGGGGACAAAGGTTCTTTGCTTTCCATCATTTCTTTTATTGTTGGAGTTTTCATGTAAATATTCTGTTCATCACCAACATTCAAAGGTTTCATTTGTTTATCAACATTATCAGGTGTGCGATTGAAGCCGACATTCATTATCATCCCAAAATGAATGCCATTACAATTCTCAATATTTATCACCGCTGTGGAATTATTTTGCGAAGTTAATGTTGCATTATTATTGAAAAATTGATTAATTCTATCATTTGCAGTAGTTGAGAGACTTTCTTCCGTGTATTTCACTATATTTGAACTACTTCCAATACTTGTAGGCACAGCATCTTTTTCAATACGTTTTTTACTCTTTTTATTCATGTTGTTTTTAATAAAAATCATAAATTTTTAATATTTCTTTATTATTCTTGTATTCAGTTAAATAAATACAAGATCCAAGGTCAACGTATAGGCTTTATTCGTCAACCTTACATTTATTTATTATTATATTATCATGTAGATAATTCCATTCATGTGTCTATGTAACTTCATTTTCTAAAGTTTCCCATTAAGTTCATTTTTTTTACAGAGAAAACTCTTGAAAGGGAGAAATTAAGGGAATCAAACTCACGCATAAACTTAAGTTAAAATTAAAGTACGCATAAATTTATTAAAGCTACATAGATTTCTTTATAAATAATTATTGAAAATCCTTTTACATGTACAGTAATGAATTGAATGTTTTTAAATAAGCTACTTAAACTGTTTTTATTTCCTCTACAACAACATGATGAGTTAAATTTTAAAGCTGAAAGTTTCTAAATTTTCCACCTCATAAATAGATCAGTACTTATGGAGATATTTAAAACCCCATTAACCTTCGAAATTCTTTTTTGTAACGATAAAATTTTCATCCTATTCTTCAAAGGTTTTTTTTTTGCCGTCAGCAATAAATTTACCATTTATTTTGAGCAGCGAGAAAATAAAAAAGGTTCTTTCACTAGATCCACAAGTATATCTTTCAGAATATTTTAAATTCAGAGTTTTGTTATCATTTCTGTATTTATGAGTTCAAGAAAAAAAGTATAAAAATAAAAGAAAGTTTATGTCAAAGCGATATCTCGGCAGTTCATTCCCTAACAGTTGAATTATCTTTACTAAAGATTAGCATGATGAATCCTGAATAATTCTACTGAATTAATTCCTTATCATACCAACATAATTCAAGTATACAAACATGAATTATTCAATGATCCATTCTTATACTCGTATTTTAAAAAATATGCAAAAAGATTTAAAATTTTGTTAGATCACAAGAACTTTTTTTTAAATTTTAAACATGAACAATTCGTCCTTTTTGATATAGCAGAAAGCCTGTATTGGAAAATGAAACAGACAATGTAGCTAAGAAAGCATAGCAAAAGGATTTTAAGTTAAATGTGTACGGTTGATTGAATAACACAGAAATCAGAAGCAATCGAACTTCATTGAAGAAGAGTAAAAATGTCAATAAAAGTGAAATTGTTGTTAAATGAGATATTCATATATTGAATTGGAGATATTCATATGTGATGTAATTGATTATTAACTAGTTTCTATAGTAGAACAGTTTAAATAGGGAGAAAAATTTAGACATCGCGGTTTTTAGGTGACCTAGATATGGTAAATAAATAAATAAATAAATGTATGTATATTATTTACTTTGATTCCTACTTAAACAATTCAGCAGAACAAAAAAAAAATCCAAGATAAATGCGATTATCTTGAATGTTGGTGATAGGTCAATGGTTAACATCTAACAACAAAAAATACTTAGGAAATGAAAAACAGAAACCAAATTCAGTGAGCATATAAAAAAGAAATGTAAGTAAGTTAATGATTAACTTTTTTGTGCTAGAATTAGATTTAGGATTGATAGAACACATGGGAGATATTTGATGTAATTTGCTTGCAAGAGGGTAACATTTCGCAAATTTTGTTTCCGCTTTTATGCTCTGACGGCTCTCAACAAATCGAATTTCTTAATGAAAACAAATTACATTCCAGCTTTAATATTATCACAAAAGAATTTTGAAGTTTTTCTTTGTATGAAAAGATGCTTGAAGTTTCCATCAATTTGAAGAAAGTCGATAAATATTCAAATGAAAATTCAATGCAAATACCTCGTTCTTTGATGGATTTTTAGGAAAGCTTTGCAGAATACACTCACCACGAGCATATTTACCTACTCCTACACATTTGCATGGGAGGATTGAATTTAATTGGTTCTGTTTCCTTTTGGAAGTGTTTGCACAATATATCCGGTACGACTACAATATTTGAAATCAATTTCACATGACAAACAAAATTTCTTTTAAGATGAAATATGATTCAATATATGGTCGTAAATACATTCGAAAAGTGACCGTTTCTGACATTCCTCATATGTGTATCTTTTTAAAAAATCCCAATAAGTATCATAGGATTTAACCGGATTTTATTACGGAATCCAGCCTGCATTAGAAGAACAAAATGGATTTAACTTTTGATGATGAATGATTTCGATTTTATTACTTATTTCTTAATTTGATTGAGCAAATATTTGATAATCTTCGTTAGAGTCACATACACATTTATCATCTACTTGTCTCGTGCTTGAAGACTGATATGTTATTTTCCAAGTTATTTTCCAATAAGAGAGAAACACAGCATTGAGAGAAAAGGATAACTGGAACGGAGATTGGAAATTCATTCATTTTCCAATAAATGGTGCTAAAATATTTGCTAAACTTTTGAAAAACCGAGTAATGAATCTATTAATGTTTAGACTCTGTTGTTTCGGTTCTTTTGTAACAATTAGGTAGGTATTTAGTGGTAATTTTATTATAATTATAATTCTTAACCGTCAGAGATCAAATTTGAAATTGAACTTGGTACAACTTTACAAATTTGAACTTGTGGAGGTTTTCAATTCGGTAGAGTACGAACAGATAAAAACACAGCAAGATTACTTTTTAAAAATTACAATAATTTATTAATTTTTTAAGTTTTTAATCCCATTCAAAGTCATTAAATACCTCATTATGGATGATAAAGAAATGTACGAAAGTTTAATAAAATGGTTAAAAATATTAGAGCTTTCTGGGCCTTGTGGTAAGAGTAAAATTTTAATATCAAATAATTTTAAATATTTAATGACTCATTTTTGATTTCTTTAATAATGCCTTAAATTGATTAGATTCTGCGTTAGATTTATCCAGTGGTGTTGCATTAGGTGAACTTTTAGCTCAATTAGCACCTGAATACTCTCCAAAAGTGAAAAATATTGGTTCTGGTAAATTTTATTTTATTAAATTTCTATCAAATGAATTTGTCTAAATTAATCTTTCCTAATGATTCCAGATGATAATTGGAGATTGAAAGCGAGCAATTTAAAGAAGATCGTTGATAGCATTGTACTTTATTATAATGATGTTCTTGATCTAAGCCTAGAGGCTCATTTAAAGCCGGAAGTGATAAAAATTGCAGAAGGAAACGATGCGAAAGAACTTGAGAAACTTTTGAAGTTAATCTTAGGGTTGGCAGTAAACTGCAACGATAAACAAACATATATTACACAGATTATGGAAATGGAAGAAACTGTCCAACAGAATATCATGAAAGCTCTTCAAGATATCGAAAATATTGGTGGCTCCGCTTCGGCTCGAAATTCGCTCAATATCCAAAATGATATAAAAGATGACCGTGAGATTCTTGCACAAAAATGTCATGAGAAAGAAAATCAAATTGCAATAATGATCGAAGAAAAGAATTCAATGCTACAAGAAATTCAGAAACTTCAAATTATGTTGGAGAAGTATGAAAATCCAGCAATAATTGGAGATGACGGAACATCGCTTGGTAATCCCGTGCAAGGCTCTGTTCGTTATAACGACCTTAGAAAACAAGTTGAACAACTCAAAAATGATTTAATTTTATCGGAAACTGTCAAAGAAGATCTAAAAATGAAGTCGGGTCAACAAGAGAAACAAATTCATGTTCTTCAAATGAAAATTGACGAGCTTAATAAAGCGAGCAGTGAGCTTTCACAAATGAAAGACGAATTTGATATTCTAAGAGAAGCAAGCGAAAAATCGAAAATTTACGAATCACAATTAACAACGTACAAGAAAAAGCTCGAAGATTATAACGACTTGAAACGACAACTCAAACAGTACGAAGATCGTGCTGCTGATTACTTGAAGCAGAATCTTCAATACGAATCAGAGGCAAAAAAGCAATCGGGATTAAAAGGTCAAGTAGAGCTTTATAAAAAAGAACTTGAAGAGCTTCATTCAAAACTCGATTCCGAGATGCAAAAAACAGTAAAAGCCGAGTTTGATTTACAAGTAATGCAAACAAAAATTGCCGGTCTTCAAAGAGAAAGAGACAATTTATTGACACAACGCGATGTGCTACAAGAGAAAGTCGATGAACTTCGATGTCGTCAAGGTGGAACTGGTGATGAGGATGATTCAGCAAATATGTCACGTGAACTTTTTGGTGATAATTTGAAAGAGAAAATAACGCGACTTGAAGCTGAGAACAAAGCGTTAAGAGAAGGTCAAGGAGGACAAACAGCTCTTTCTGATTTATTGAATGATGCTAATCAGCGTAATGAGAAATTAAGAGAACAATTAAAAACAGCAAATCAGAAGATTTTACTTCTAAAATCGCAGAATATCCCAGAGGATGAGAAGAATAAAAATGGAAATGCTGAGCTTCGAGAAATATGTGAAACACGAGAACGTTTGTTGGAAGAAGCTCAAAGTCAAATCACTAATTCACATACAAAAGTTCGTCAACTTGAAGCATCTTTGGAAAGCAAGAATCAAGAACTGTCTGCGCTTGAAGCGAAGTACAGAAAATGTCTAGAGAAAGCCAAAGAAATGATAAAAGGCCTCGATTCTCGCTTGCTTGGTGATCACATAAGTTGTGAAGTAGCGTCTGGGGAATCTCAGGAACAGGACGTTATGTCAGTGGTAGAAACTCGATTGATTGCATCAGCTTTCTACCGAATGGCCCTGAATGTTCAGAAAGAGTCTGTCGATTCTCGACTTGCATCATTAAGTCAGGGACAAAGTTTTATGGCAAGACAACGACAACCGGCAGCACGAAAAAATATGAACTTTAAAAAATGAGTTCCGATTATCTCATTGACTGGTATTCATCCAATAATTGTCTGTAAGAAGCACCAAAATTTATCATAATAGCTCATTAACTAAAATTTTCTTATTTTCACTTTCGATGTTCACTTTTAAGTTGTGAAGTTTTTTTAATGTGTATCGATATAACAATTTTTATTTCTATGATCAAAATTTAGAAAAAAGTTTTTCCAAATATCTTTGAGAGATGGTTTATAATAAAAGTTTTAAAAATTTATAGGTAAATAAAGTATCATGTTTATTGTTTTATTTTCAAGTAATTTATGAAACAATGTTGTAAAGCAAATAAAATCATTGAAACGGAAACTAATCGTTATGTTATGTAAAAAGTATAAAAGTGTTTTCGCGTTCCTTACTCGTTATTCGTTTTAATTGGAAACTAATCGAGTTGAACAAGAATGTTCGAGTATTCATTGAATACTGTTTGTGGTTTAGGAATTTAACCTGGAATAATGATTAACATCTGATACAAAATTGAGCAAAGCTTTGAGCAAAGTAAAGAATTTTTTATTTAAAAATTAGAAGCCAATAGATAGCACACTCAGTGAAAAATAGTTAACACTTTTCATTATTACCGTTGTTATGAATAATTCTATAAAAATTGTAACTACATTTTAGCTGAATTATGGACTGAAACTATTTTTAAAAATTCAATAAAAATAAAACGATACTTCCTTATTCAGTGCAGCAGGTAAAAAATGTTAATAAAATTTTTATATTCGTGCGACAACGTTGAATGATTGTTTATATCTGTCAATCATTCAACATAAAAAAAATAAAATACCTTCGATAAAAATATAATAAGCTTCTACCACAAATACGGAATTAGTAATTGAATTGTTCAGAGCGACCGTCAATACATTCGAACATGACATGATAAAATATGTCGAGAAGTTTTGACCACGCAACGTTACCTATTAATACAACAATACAATAATATTTTTCAATTATTTTCATCTACATATAAATATTAATATTTTTACCTTTTTCATCCAATTTACAAACGTCATTCAAAATTTCGACAAGAACTACACGAAGTTCTGCATGAGCTTGTTTTGTGACCTTTTTTTTGGCATGAAAAATTCCAGCTAATAATTGACGAAGTCTTCAAATGAATATTCTCAAAATTGAAAAATAATGTAAAACTCACATTCTGCAATAAAACTCATCACTTCTTTATTCTCAGGATCTTTGCCAATGCCATCAATAACACTGTCAAAAACATTGTAAATTCGAGATGCATGAGCACGAAAGAATGGAGATCCCTGAGAAAGTGATTTTATCTTAAAACTTGTCAACACATATAAAAGGACATTACCTTGAGTTCATTTAAAGGTTTATCCTTAAAACGAACAAATCTTTTTTGATGTTCAGGATAACGTGACAAAAACGTATAGAAGATGAGCTCAGCTGAATCAACAGCCTATTCAACAAAAACAAAATTAAATTTATTTTATTGCTTTTATTAATCTTACATTAGCACTTGGGATCTTCCATGAATCTTTAACTAAAACGATTTCTTCTGGTGTCAAAACATGCAAAGAAGGTGTCGGATAACTTTTACTGTCATTCATTTTGATAATCTAAACTCTATCTTTTGAATGTTATAACTTTGAAAACAGAAACACAACTGATTGTATTGAATACTTCACATTGACTTGAAACGCACTTGAAGCATCGTTGTTCTTTTCAGTTGTTAACTCAAATATTCTTAGAAGTGTTAGTGAGAGTGAAATAAGCATAGCGTGTTTGTCAAAAGTAATGAATTCTCCAGATACTGATATTTAATTAACTTATAATAGAGAAGGTCAAAAGTGTCATCTTTTTGAGAGATTCGTATCGTGGGATATGAAGAAGAATGTGAAATTTTCTAGTTGTATCAAACCTAACAATTTTTCAAGCATATACTTTCTTTACAATGAAGCGTTTTTTTCATTCATGTTAATTAAATTCAAACTGAAACTCAGTTATACTAAAAATATAAAAAAGGTCTTCAGCACACAATGATATCAAGAAATGAAATGACCCTCAATATTTCATTGAGTTATTTTAATTATCATGAAGATTATTCATAAGAAGAAGAGTTAAAAATTAACCAACATTGATGTGTTATGAGGGCATGTGCCAAATTGTCAACAAAAATATTAAATTCGTATTTAATGGTGATGACGATAAGATGAAATCTTTATTTATCAGCAAATAAATAAAAAATTTCATTCGATTCTGCACACTTTCAGATGTTAAATTCAGTTTAAAAATAATCGCTCACTTGCTTTTGCTTTGTCAGTGAAATGTAAAAAAATGTTGAAATTGTCATTCATAACCGAACTTAATCTAGTAACAGCAAAATCAGGTTTATCAACTTTGTCTTTCTCACTTGCTTAGTGTTTCTTCAGAGCTTTAACATGACACATCGAAAAATGAGTTTTTCCAAGGTGAAGTTGAACAATTTGGCTTTGTGGTTAAATAATTTACAAGACAATTAAATTAAACATAAGTTTAGGGTCTTTTAGGTCTTTTGATTGTTGTCAGCATCTTCGATACTTTCAACACATTGGATTTGGATGGAATCAGTTGTAAATCTTTAACAAGCTTGTTGAAAATCGGCGTAAGTTTTGCTTTCACTTTTTTCTTCCTGGAATATTTATGTACAACAATGTTCATTATTTGTTAAAGGTCAACGACATCTATTTGCCACATGAAGATGAATGTGATCAATTTTATCGATGTAGTTCCGGTGGTGCTACGCTACATCCCTGCGGAGTTGGAACTGTTTTCTCTTTAAAAGATAAAGATTGCCGTGACGATGTAGAATGTGTCCTTCTTGATGAATTTTTGGAAGAAAAAGATCTTTACTTGGATGATTTTTATGATGAAGAAAAGAAAATGCGAAAAGTGGAATCACTCGACCTTGAAGGAATCAACTGTAAAGCTTTATCAAAGCTTTTAAATATCAAAGTCTGTGATAAATGAAACTTCGTCTCTAAACCTTTTTTCAAATATATTTGTGCTTTTAGATCAACGACCTTTATTTACCCCATGACTCAGAATGTGATTACTTTTATCGTTGTGGAGCTGGCGGTGCCGCTTTACAACCTTGTGGAATTGGAACAATATTTTCCTATCGAAATAAAGATTGTAGAAGACCAGAAGAGACAAAATGTATCAGCTTGGAAGCATTTTTAAAAAAGAAAAATATCACTTTAGAAGACTTTTACGATCCATCTTTTTAAAGAAGAAAATTGATGTCGTTCTAATTATGAGTGAATAAAATTATTATTATTTATACAACTTAACATTTATTTATCTCATGGAAATTTTAATTTTCAGGGTTTTCTTCATATCCCATGAACTTTTTAAGTTCCAATACACCATCTTCATAAAGCTCTTCGATTCTACTGGGACGGCATGATTTGGTGCTGTCGCATCCTTTCTCTTGGCCATTGAAGGTTGTACCATCGGGACAATCCCTAACAAGCCATCTGTTTGTGACACATTCAAAATACTTTTTGCAGTCCATATTGTGTTGAACTTTACGTATTAAAGGTCCCTGGTCACCAATTTCACTGGTGGCTTCATATAGGTCACCACAATCAACAGGTGGAATGATTATTTGAACTTTAGCCTTTGTTGGTCTGTTAATTTTACGTCTTTTTGAAATTGGTTTTTCAGTTGCAGCCAATACAACTCCAATGAAGAAGACTAACAGCTTAAATTTACATTACATTACTAAACAATTTTATTTATAACTTTCATTATAATCTTACAATCAATCGTCTCATCATATTTATTAACTAAGCAAAATTACCACGAGTCTCACTACGAGTAAAGAAAAAACAAAACTATAGCGAGCATGGCAGCATCTGCGTAGCATTTAATTTCCAGAAAAACTTGTTGAGGCAAAGAAACAAAATAATGTCACAAATATTTCTTTTCATCTAAATTGCTTGCTGTTCACATCAGTTTGATAATCAAAGTCAACGTTACTTGCATCCCAAACAAAGTTTGCGGAACATCATCAAGCTTCAACTTATCACAAGCTTTCGAATATTGGTTTACTTTTTATTTCTTTAAATTATGTAACAATATACCGCGTAGAAACTGTTGACACATCTGATACGATGGTTTGTTGGAATTTAACATTTTTATTCAAATATTTTCATTTGATGATTCAAATTTCAATTAAATGTCTATCTACATAGACATTTTTTTATCTGTTATGATTTTTTTAATCTGACTTATTAGTTTTAAAAACCACTGAAATTGTTTACAATCAAGACTTTTTCAATTTTATTCAAAATCAACCATCAATAAAATTTTCAATATCAACTTCTGTAATTAAATCACGAATAAATTGAAAGCTAACCAATCCTTTCTTCATAAACATTTTAACAAGAATTAATACAAAAGCCTTGATAGCTCCATTGTAACTGGAAGTAAATGTTTCATAATCTTCATCGCTGTGAAATTTATTCAAATTAAAGATGTGAAATTGTTTTAAATTGAAACTTACGTTTTTCTCTCAAAAATATTCTTCATGATTTTGTTCGATTCTGGAAATTCAGTGAAGAATTGTTGTTCATTACTTAATCCATCTGATATTTTATAAAGCGATTCAAACACGCCGCTTTCGTTCTTTCTCGTTATGATTGTCTTCAAACTCATTACGTCTTTCAATTTAATCATTTTAAACATTTGTGTGTAGTGCGTTGTAACAAAAGTGATTGGCGTTGCGATTCCACGATCAGCGAAATGTTCAATAGAAGCGACGAGAAAAGCAATTCCGTCTTTGTAATGAGTTCCTTTTCCAAACTCATCAATTATTATGAGACTTCGATCAGTGCTGTTCATAATCACTTTAGACATTTGTTGTAAGTCTTCCATGAATGCTGATGAACATTGATAAACTGACTCAGGTGTATAAATTCTTGTAAAAATCGAGTGAAGAATTGAAACCTTACATTCATCAGCAGGGACATAGCATCCTATATGACTCATAAAACATATCAAAGCAATCTGTTTCATGTAGATACTTTTGCCTGAAGCATTTGGAGCACAAATTATATTCACAAAATTGTTTTCATTCTCATTCACGATTGTTGTACTTGGCACATATTCTTTCAATAATTGAACGAGTGGATGTCTTCCATTAACAATTGTAATCTCTTTTCTAGTTGTGAATGACGGTTTTGTAAATTTATATGTTGCTGCGACACTTGCGAATGAGATGAGAACGTCTAACTTTGCACACAACTTTGTGATATCAATAATTTCAGCGAAATGTTCATTAATATACGTAATTAAACGATTAAAAATTCTCATCTCATGATCAATAATATCCGTCAGTTTCTGCTCATACTCTGCATTGAGAATCTTACAATTCGGTGACCGAAAATATGTAACACCAACAGTTTTTAAAACTAGTTCAATTTTATTTTGAATCATCATTTCAATATTCATGTCTTCAATTTGCAACTTTGTTCCTATTACAAATCCCATCTCCCGAAAGTGAACAAAGTTCCAAGCATCTGTTTGATTATTAATTGTTGTCAATGTTTTATCGAGGCCCATTTGCATAAAGTTAATTTTCATATCTTCAAGACTTTCACGTTTCTCATCTAAAACTAAATCGAGACCTTCTTTAACAGTAAATCGTCTTTTTTCGTCAATCATATCCAAGTCTAATATCTTCTCGAGAACAAATAAAACACTTTTGATTGTATATTCATCCTTAGTGAAATTTGCCAGGTCTTGTAGACATGTTTCTTTAATACTCTCTTGATTAAAAGAAGCACAAAGTTCACAGATATTAAATGAGAAATAAATCGTTTTCTTCAATGATCTCCAATCACCTGTTTTGCCATGGTTTGTAATAATTCGTGACATTATACCACTGATGTTTAAAATATTGTGCAAATATGAGCGAATTTTTACTACATTTTCATGATTTTCTGGCTGTAAGCACCATTCAATAGTCGATAGACGAAGATTTAGTTCACTTAAATCTCGAGTCGGTTGTTTTAATATTCCTCTCAATTCTTGAACTCCAACAGATGAGCAACATTGATTTAGCATATTAAAAAGTGATAAACCATCACGACGTATTTGAGTTTTGAAGCTTGAAGGATGATGAACATTTGAAAAGATGTTAAGCGAGTTGAATGTAGTATCATCGAGTAAAAGTTGCGTTTTCATATTACAAACAATGACATTTGTAATTATTGGATTTCTTTCGGCACTCATGAAAACATGGCGCCATTTCAACCGATTTTCATCGAGATACTTCAATAAATTTCCAAGACAAATGATGACAAGCTCTTGATTCATAGGGAACACTGAATCAATGAAGACGTGGCGATCACTTTTAGAGCTCTCTGCAGGAAGACCTGGCAGATCAAGTTCATAAATTCTTTTACGAAATACATTATGCTGATTATTTCGATTATAAGTGAAAAACGAAATATTGAATGTGTTTGCATTGGCAGATTTATAAGCTGATACTTTATATTTATTTATATCAGTGTTCTCAGGAAGATCTAAAAGTTCAATAAGATCTTTTAGAAATTGATTTGATGCCGATGCAACAAGGAATGATGGTTGAATTTGTCTGAATAAATTTCGTAGTTGAATATGATCGGGACGAAGATCTATTGTTTCATGAATTATCTGAAGAAGAAAATTTGTAAAGCTCTGGAAAATAAAGAAGTTAGTATAATACTTACAGATATTTCCAGTGAAGATAAATTATAGTAAGAAGCTGCAAGAATTCCAGAATCCCAACAGAGTGATAAAATGAATTTAGAGGCTACATCATCTCTATCACAAAAATCATTAAAATTTTCGACATTTTCTTCTTCTGACATTTTGAAAATAAATAAGACACACTGTGGTTGTCGTCGACAAGTTTGAGATTTGAAAACAAACACATTTGTCCCGGGTAAGTTTTTACCCCTTATACACGGACGGTGTATGACCGGGATAATCCTTATTATTGCACCCCTTTAGCGAGGGAAATTATTAACTTATGTAAGCTTTCGGAAATTAAAACTTGAATTGAAAATAAAACCAGAGAAAAAAGTGAAAGGAGTTTAAATAAATATTTAATTGTAATTGCAAGCTGCTGTCTGCCCAATATTGCTGTGGATTAAATTGTTCAACGTAAGTTTTGATTCATTCTGGTTGTTAATTAACAACAATAATTTTTGCCTTGCTCAGAATTTTATTCGAGTTCTGCGTTTGCGTTTGTCAGAAATAACTGAATTTCGATTAATTATTGCGCGGCGCGTCACATATTCGACTTTTTATACATTTTTATGCACAACTAATCATTTTTCACTTACTATTTCACTAATTTTTCACCCATTCAGATGCCAAAAGCAAGAAAATCCTGGGTTTGGCGGCACTTTGAAGCTGAAAGTAAAAATGTTGCAAAGTGCAAGCATGCAAAAGAGAAATTCAATGAGCAGCTTATGGAACAACTGCGATGGCTAATCATTTAACGGTGAAGCATAAATTATCAGAGAAAAAAGAAGAAACCAAGGGTTCATCAGAAGACGAAGAAATAGAGATAATTAAACCGAAATCATCTTCTAATGTCGCATCTTCTATTGAAAGCCCAGTCATGCTTACACCATCTATCGCGAATTATATAAAAAAACCAACCTTAGCTGAGATTCTTGCCGAATGTGCTGCAAAAGATGGATTTTCAGTCAATGCTATTTCTCAATCAACAGCAATTAAAGGATATGTTCGGATGAAAGGATATGAAATGCCTAAAGGAAACGAAAAAATATGGGACCTTATTACTTCATTTCAACGCTCGAAGTTTGATGACTTAAAATCTTTAATCATCTCTAAAGCCGATCGAGATGCAAGATTCAGTCTTACATTAGACGAATGGACTGACCTCACAGGACGTCGGTACTTGCATGTCAATTTGCATGATCTTGAAGGAACATATAACCTTGGAATTATACCAGTTCCTACTGGCCACTGCACAGCTGATGTGATTTCTCAACTTGTCACTTCCAAACTTGAAGAAGTAGGATTAAGCTTAACAAAACATATCGTTTCTTCCACTACTGACGGCGCTAAAGTCATGCTGAAATATGGTCGCATTACACATATCGGTTTTCAAGCATGCATCAACCACGGAATCCATCTAGCTGTTACTGATGTTCTTTACAAGAAAAAGAAGAAACAAACTGGTAAGTTTCCAGAGCAGAATATTTTTTTGCAAATAAATTTGGTATTCCAAACATTAAACATAGGATTGCGGATTTTTTTTGAAATTTTTACTGTTAGAAATATCAAAGTAAGAATTTAATTTTAAACGATTACTTGCCAATCCTTGTAGAAACGTTTAATCCTAGCAGACCGAATTCAGTTTTTCATGCTAATCTAACCCCTATCCGATACATGGTGTTAGGTTTAGCCATTCTAATCTAACCTTTCTTAACCCTGATCTGTGAGTCCCGAAAGACCCTGAAAAGCTCTTTTCTGATTATCTGGTCCTAATCAAACAGTTTTAAATTAATTAAATCAAATTCAAATTCAAATAAAAAAACTCATTCAAATGGAAGCTTTAAAAGAAAGGCAACACTAATTTAATCTTAAACAAAGTTTTTTATTTAATTCTATTTCAAAACTAAGCAATCTCCGCAAACTTTGTAAAAATTTACACANTCATAGGGAACACTGAATCAATGAAGACGTGGCGATCACTTTTAGAGCTCTCTGCAGGAAGACCTGGCAGATCAAGTTCATAAATTCTTTTACGAAATACATTATGCTGATTATTTCGATTATAAGTGAAAAAAGAAATATTGAATGTGTTTGCATTGGCAGATTTATAAGCTGATACTTTATATTTATTTATATCAGTGTTTTCAGGAAGATCTAAAAGTTCAATAAGATCTTTTAGAAATTGATTTGATGCCGATGCAACAAGGAATGATGGTTGAATTTGTCTGAATAAATTTCTTAGTTGAATATGATCGGGACGAAGATCTATTGTTTCATGAATTATCTGAAGAAGAAAATTTGCAAACCTCATGAAAATAAAAAAGTTAGTATAATACTTACAGATATTTCCAGTGAAGATAAATTATAGTAAGAAGCTGCAAGAATTCCAGAATCCCAACAGAGTGATAAAATGAATTCAGAGGCTACATCATCTCTATCACAAAAATCATTAAAATTTTCGACATTTTCTTCTTCTGACATTTTGAAAATAACGTTTAATCCTAGCAGACCGAATTCAGTTTTCCATGCTAAATTTCTAACCCCATCCGATACATGGTGTTAGATTTAGCCATTCTAATCTAACCTTTCTTAAGCCTGATCTGTGAGTCACGAAAGACCCTGAAAAGCTCTTTTCTGATTATCTGGTCCTAATCAAACAGTTTTAAATTAATTAAATCAAATTCAAATTCAAATAAAAAAACTCATTCAAATGGAAGCTTTAAAAGAAAGGCAACACTAATTTAATCTTAAACAAAGTTTTTTATTTAATTCTATTTCAAAACTAAGCAATCTCCGCAAACTTTGTAAAAATTTACACAAATTATTTTCTAAGGAGCATTTTCTAAAATTCTATTTTTTGTTTAAATTTGACTCAATTTTACATTAATAAACATCATTAATTAGAAATGTATTGCGTAGATGAGAAATGTAATATTCGTTTTCCGTATAAACTTCATCAAAAAATTCACGTTCACCCTCTTCCAAAATGTAGTTTCAAATTTGCAAATTCAAAGATAGGCGTACCGGTAATAAATTTTCTTGCCTTGGTGAATACTTTAGTTCAAATTGTCATAAATACCTATTTAAATATTTTAGATTTGGAAAAAAGTGAAAATTAACGACTTCATTTTTTACGATACCGAAAATCATCAAACTCCACCTTACAATCCTTTAACTGATCCACATTTAAAGTCATTCTTCAAACGCAAAGTTTATTTGAATGTAAAATAATTTTCTCTTGAAAACGGTGAATGTGAGTTTATTAAATTTTCCTTTCTTGTTTTTTCAAAGGCTCTAAGAAAAAATCAATTTATAACTGACGACAATTACGTTCTTTGTTCTACTAAAAATATAAACGACTATCGAAATTTTCTGCATCGAATTAAGACAGAAGTTGATGCTGTGGATAGACGAAAGAAAAATTGTTCAGATTTAGACTTTCATCGAATAAAATTGTCAAATTTGCTTTTTGATAAAATTCAAAAGAAAAATCTTAAATCTAGGGGAAAGAGTGAAAAAATTCAAGGTTGCGTTGGTGTTCGTTGTAGAAATATTAATCCACTCAAACATGAAACTATATTTGAGTTAAAGAAAATGTATAAAATGCATCATGAAAATCAAAGAAAGAAACAGTAAGTAAGGGAATGATTTTTACTTAAGAAAATAAATAATGTTTATTTTTCAAGATTCCTTGAAGGCATCAGAAATTATGATTTACGTTTAATTAAAATAAAAGAAATGCAGCAATTGAAGCACAAACAATTCAGAGAGCGTGCTGTTAAACGTGAACTCGAGACCATGGAGAAGCAAAAATACGTAAAAGAACAGCGAAAAATGTAAAAACAAAAATAGGAAACTCCTGTGAGCCATGAAATTTAATTAAATTAAATAAATTTTCAGACACCGAACGAAGACGAAAAATTCAATCATTGCAAAGGAGAGAATGCTCCAGAAGAAAATAGGGAAATTTTTGTCTCAGCAAAAGAAAATCAATCTTATTGTGAAGTGCCCTGAGGTAAGTAAATATTCCTAATTTCCACTTTTTACTGAACTTTTTTGCTCTTTGAAACTAACCAGTTCTTTTTATCTTTTCAGGTAAGAGATTGGTGAAGAAAACTTAGGAAAAAGAAAAACTTTTGAATAACTTAAAGGTCTGCATGCAAAACTTTTCTATTGAATAAAAGAATAAGAATGTTGAGAAATTTTCTTATCTCACCTCGTAAAATGTAAATTCATGAAACAAATTTAGTCATTTAGTGAACTTTCGTGGAAGATAACTAAATAAGATGAAAAAAAATGAAAAGTAAAGACAAAGTTTTGTTTAGGTAACGTGGGATTTTCAAAGCATCATCTATCAGAGTTTCCAACTCGCACATATCTGATTAAAACTTTTCTCAAATTGTTTCTTGCCTAATTTAATTAGGTATCTGATTAAATATTAATAATTTAAGTTTTCTATAAAAAAATATGTTTCAACATCCCACAACATGACGGCTTTATTATAGCTTTATTATTATAGATATTTACCATTTAATTTTCTCTGATATTGAACGACCTTTTCATTTACCCAAAAGCCTCCAAACAAAATTAAAACGAACGTAAATTGTCAAGGATTTCATTGAGTGGAGAACCTTTCGCCTTTTCCGTTGCTTCATTACAGCGACGTAACCCGTTTCAAGGGTTAAAATAAGTGAAAGCAATTGGAGGGATTTTCTTCTAAATAAAATTTTATTGACAACTTTTTGGGGTTTTCCCTCTCAGCTTTATGTGATTTAGAAAAAAATTTCACTTCTGCGGTATGCAAAAGAGATCGTACTTAAGTTTTAGCAGAAATCAGCAGAATTTAAACTTTTATAGCACATTTCTTTTGATTATGTATCGAAAAAATCTGTTTTGTGAATGAGATTTCTTTTCTCGATTTGAAGGATGAAAATCATTTAAATTCATAGTGAGAGCCGATTTTTCCAAGAGAAAATTTGGAATGAATTGGAAAGTAAACGAGAAGACGCGCGATGAATCTCAATGCTATATTTGGAATCTGCATACAACGTGAAAATGGTAATTTCAAGAGATTTTCCTTGAAGAGCACCTGCAAAGCTTTTCATCAACTTTTCAAAAACATTTGAATGTTGTGCATTGACAATCTTAAATCCTATTTTCCTTGTCGTTCTTGAACAAGAGAACTAAAATTGAATAAAAAGAAACAAAAGCCATTGGTTTTGATGACTGAAATTTTGAATCTTTATCATTCTTTTTTCTATTCTTTATTCTTGTTTCTTTTTTTTCATCTTAAAGTTCATTTTGCATTGAATCATTTAACACAATTTAAGATCGGAGTAGATTTAATTACTTTTGACTCCCAAATGCTGCATTGTAAGCCTTCGACGAAAGATCAACAACATTATCTTTGACTTCTCCGAATGATGTTGGGAACTTAGGAAGAGTTTTTTGACGTTCATCACCAGGTTTGATTCCATATGCGAAGTTATATGCAACAGTTGCGTACTTTTTAGCCTCACGAGGATAGCAAACTACGGCAACAGCTGAACCACTAACCGTTGCATAGAAAAGACGTTTGAAGAATCCTCCTCGAATGCCAAAAACAACACCAGCTAAAGAACCGACAGCAATTGCTCCTACTCTTGGAAGTGTATTATCTTCTTCTTGTAAATAATTTCTGATGTCTGTTGAGAGAAAGAATAGAAATTGTGACTTCATCGAAGAAGTAAAATGTACAAAAATTCATTACGTTGTGTGTCTTTCAAAGCTTTAACATAATATCGATCAAGATTAGCTTTTTGATTCTCATACACATCAGTTACTTTGGTCACTTCCTTTCGTACGACGCTAACACCTTCCTCAATTGTTTGGGCAATTTTTGAGGGTTTATGTTCGGCCTTAGGTTTGCTGAAAATAATAAAAGTAAAATCTTTATTGTAATTGTTAAAAAAGATAAGTTTAGTTAAATACCTCTCAACATGAGGTGTATAGATCGGTAAGTCACTTGGTCTGCAGATAAAACTTTTCTCCTTTTTACCATCAGCTGATTCTTCATTTTTGACAATTACACCAGCGGCAGCAACCATTGAACCTCCAGGAGCAATCAAGCGACGAAGCATGATTTGATATTATGCGATGACACTGGAATAAAAAATTGCTGAATATTCTCTTTTTTTCTAACTATTTATTGGTAAATACCTTAAGGAATGAAAAAAAAACCACCAAATGTTTTGATAAAATTTTATGTAATTTTTTCAACCTTCATAATTTCAACGAACGTCAATACGAAGTTTCATTTTAGCAGATTTCACTGTAATATCAACAAGGAGAAAGAGATTTCTTTAAAATAATTTTTTTCAGCCTGTTATATTAGGTATTTAATAAGAAATCAAATTTAAAATAATAGCGTTGTGATAATGGATAAAAGAGAAAACATTGGTTCAAGCGACGATGAAAATTTCGAAGACGCAAATGAGAAAATTGTTAATGAACTTATTGAAGAAGCAACTGGCGTGAAATTAACAGGAGTAAATGATGAATACAACATGTCATTAAATGAGGAAGATGATTCAGATCATGAAATAAATGAAAAAGATAGTTTCGTTGATTGTGAAACAAGCGATTTTATTGATGATGAGTCACAAAAAGAAATGGAAAAAGATCAAACAAAAGAAGAACAAGAAACGGCGAAACTTAAAGCAGAAGAGTTAAAAAAGCAAGGAAATGAAGTTTTTAAAACTGGTGATTATGTGAAGTCAACTGAAATCTATACAAATGCATTAAGAACTTGTCCAGTAGCTTGTGAAATGGAAAGATCAATTATTTATGGAAATAGGGCAGCTGCTAAGCAGAAATTAAACTTGAAACCAGCTGCAATTGATGACTGCACAAAGTCATTAGAATTTAATCCAAATTATGTTAAAGTACTACTTAGGTATATATTAATGATTCTTCTCTTAAATTTATTTTTCTACAGATTTTATTTATGCTTTTCTATTACAGACGAGCTGCTCTCTATGAAGAAACAGAAAAGCTTGATGAAAGTCTTGAAGACAACAAAAAGATTCTAGAACTCGATCCAGGAAATCATGATGCAAGAGCAGCTCTTGTTAGACTTCCTCCAATGATAAATGAACGAAATGAAAAGATGAAAGCTGAAATGATCGATAAATTAAAAGATTTAGGCAATATGATTTTGAGACCGTTTGGACTATCAACTAGAAATTTTGAACTCAAACAAGATCCTTCATCGGGATCATATTCCGTTAATTTTAATCAAAGTCCTCAATAGTTAACTTATCGCTATTTAAAACAGATTTCTAAATATAATCTGTTTATTAGTTAGATCAAAAAAAAAATTGCTTCGAAGTAATAAAAGTTTTCATATGTATAAATTCTTGAAAAGTTTTATTTTCTTTCTTTTTAAAAATGACAGAGATTTCAGATTTAAACATTTAAATTATTTCGTTATCGTCCATTAAGAAAATTACAGTAAACCTCACATGCTGATTATTGAAATATTTCCGAAAATTGCAAAATAAACGAAAATCGTGTGTTAAACAGTAAGAAAAAAGATTTTTTCTTTCTTTTTTTCCTTCAGCAGCACAAAAATTCTCGCATTCCTACACTCATTCGTGTTTTGACGTTTGAAGTGGCAACAAAAGCATTTTTTCAAAAGCAGTTTAATTCATTCAAAAGTGTTGATAAAGTAAAATTTAGAAAAAAATGTCAATCCAATTTAAAAAATATCGACTAGAAAGAAGTGAAAATTTCGATGAATTCATGAAAGAACTTGGTAAATTAAAAATATAATTTTAATTTGTTTTTAAAATGCCCTCAAGAATGACCTTGAGACTTTATTTCTTCATAAGTTCAACAGAAATTACTAACTATTTGATATTAGTAAATAATCTTATCAGTAAACTGCATTGTAGTCATTACTGGAATATCTACGTTAAAAAGATGACGATTACAATTTCTAATAATTTTCAATTTCTTTAACGTTTTTAACTTTTTAACATTACTTAGGTGTTAATTTTCTTGTGAGAAAAATGGCAAACACTGTTACATCAACTGTTCAACTGGTGAAAGAAGGCGAAAACTCTTATTCATTTAACACTGTGTCAACATTTCGCAATCAAACGTTGAAATTCAATCTGAACGAAGAATTCGAGGAAGAAAGAATGGACGGAAAAAAGGTCAAATGCGTAGTGACGTTTGAAGGGAATAAAATGATTCAACATCAGTTAGGCGATAAGTCAGTTCGTATTGAAAGAGAGTTCAACGACGATGAGCTTATCACAAAATGCATCGTGGGAAATGTTGTTGCTACCCGTTGGTTCAAAGCAGTCAGTGAATAACTTTGGAATTTCGAATTTAAAATATGTAATATTAAATCGTCAGGGTCAGGCATTTATACAAATTTCTTTAGCCTTTGGAGAAACATTTTCTTACACATTTTTTTTTATTTTTCCGTTAATTAACAAGCAATCATGTTACTACATACATGTGTGTAGATAATTAATTCATTCATTATGTTTTGAATGATCAATTACTGAAAGTAAATTGTAATGCAAATATATGCAAGAATAAAATCATTAAAGTTTTTGAATAATTATCAACTCAACGAAGTTTAAATGAAATGTCTATTAAAAGTCTAGAAGACCGAAAAGAAATCTCATTTCATATAATTTAATAACAAATGTTAACTCATAAAGGTTGCGCAAACGATAAGAAAAGAAAACGACTTAAAAGTGATGAAAACAAAAGTATGATGATTAATCTTACGTCAGACAAAATTGTTGTAGTTAAGCCTTTTGTAGTAAAAATCAACAAAAAAAATCAGTTGTGAATCAGAGATTGAAGGAGTAAGATGGATAAATTCTTAGATAAAAAATATAAGCTCGTTCGTAGCGTGAACTATGAGCAACTTTTAACGGAAATAGGTGTGTGAGAGATTTAAAATGAAAATTCTGTAGATATCGTAAGTGTAATTGGTGGAAAATTACGAGTTATAAGGCATGAAGGTTGCCATTACGTCGTTTTCTAAAAATTTCTGATGATTTTATAACATTTTTATAAATATTCTTCAGAGTGATCATCAATGAAACCTGTTTGAGGTCGTTTAATAATAATATAAAATTTCAGGAGTAAATGTGTTGTCACGAAAACTTGCAAAGACCTTGACATCAACTACACAGCTGGTAAAAAAGAATGACGATCGATATGCGCTCATCACTTCAACAATTCTCAATATAATGAGTAAATATCTTGAGTTTACGCCAAATGAAGAGTTTGAAGAGAGAACGATGTCTGGTCGAAAAGTAATGAATATCGTGAAGTTTGAAGACAACAAAATGATTCATAAACAAGAAGATGAGAAACCATTGATTATTGAAAGAAGATTCTTTGAGAATGAAATGGTATCAATTATAACTTATGGTGATATTATATGTACGTGTTGGTGTGAGGTAATGGAATAAATAAAAATTGTTACAAGTATCAAAAAAATATCTGCATTAGAGTATTAGTTAGATAAAAATGCTTATCACAATACTATATTGCGGAGAAATTATTTTTGGCATTATAAACAATTCCAAGTTTAATCCCAAAAGTTTCACGAAAATGAAAAAATGTTAAATGCTGATAAATACTTTGACATAATGATAAGAGTACAATAGTTAACATTAACTCAAGTGGATAACAAAAAAATTTGAAGAGTTTTCAATAAGACGATTGAAGTAGGATATCGTTTTATTAAGCTGCTTTGAAATGGAAAAATATTTTTATAAAAAGTATAAGTCCTACCGGCATGAAAATTTGGATGAATTACTCCAAGAAATGAGTAAGAACTCTTTATGAAAATATATTGTTAGAATATGTTTCGATGGAATATTTTCCCATTAAATCTTATTAAGATCTTCCTGGTTGGCTGAGATGGATTTCAAAAAAGTTAAATATAACTACGCAACTTGTAAAGAAGGATAAAGATTATTACCAGCTAAGAACGACTGCTTTATACACTACAACACGAGAATTCAAACTTGATGTGGAGGAGGAAATTCTTACCGCTGATGGAGGAAAACAGCGAAGAAGAAAAGTGAAAAATTCATTTCATATCGAAGGCAATAAGTTAATTGAAAAACAAATCGGCGAAAAGTCTTTAATTATTGTACGAGAATACTTTGATGACGAACTTATAGTAACAGCAACGATGGGTAGTACTGTGTGTAGGAGTTGGTTTAAACCTGTACAAACTAAATAATAATCAAATTTTACAGCTTTGAAATATCTATGAACAAACTAAGGCGAATTGAATGTTTGTAATTTACCCTTTCTTTTGTCTATCTTCAGTGAACTGTAATAAAATCAGACTTCAGCCATTTTTAACGACCTTGAAGAATATAGAAAATATTTTGAGTACATAATGATATAGCGTTCAACTGCTGCTATATTTATAATATTAAGATTACACCGATCATGATTAACTCAAGTGGAAAGTAAAAAAACTTTACTTTACAGAGAAAAATTTACGATTGAAGTGATCTATCATTTTATTTTCAAGCTTGTTAATTGTCTGAACATAGTGAAATGGAAAAATATTTTAATAAAAAGTATAAAACAGACCGTCATGAAAATTTAGATGAGTTACTTGAAGAAATGGGTAAAAATATATTTTTGATAATTATATCTCCTCTTGAATACCTCTTTATGTTGATTTTCATGTTTAAAATAAGGAATTAATGCTATGGTGAGAATGATTTCAAAATCATTAGTTACTACTGTACAGCTTGTTAAGAAGGATAATGATTATTATTCACTCAACACAACAATTCTACTCTTCTCAACATCACAGACATTTAAACTTGGAGAGGAAAAAGATATCACAACTCAAGATGGAAGAAAAGTGAAAAATTCATTTTATTTTGAAGACAATAAACTTGTTGAGAAGCAAATTGGTGAAAAGACTTTAACTATTGACCGAGAGTTCTTCGATGATCAGCTTATTGTAACATCAACGATGGGAAATGTTGTGTGCAAAAGTTGGTGTAAGCCTATAGACTAATTAATAAAAACTTCGCATTTAAAATTCGCAGAATTTATCAAAGAACAAAGTAATCTTTCAGTAGTAGTCGTATTAATTTATTTAGCCTATTTAAAGGTTCTTCAGTATTCGTTACACAATCACTCAACTTCAAGATAAAGTTAATCACGACTTTGAAATATCAAGATTCGCATTAATCTTGTAGTTTAATGGGTTTTTGCCCTCAACTTTAAAAACAATGTGATTCCATGTTTATTTCGCATATAGCACAGTTCAGTTGTACTTAGAAGAGTTATGGACAAATTTCTTAACATTAAATATACGCTCCACAGACAAGACGAGTACTTCGATGACTATTTGGCTAGCATAGGTATACAACTATTTTTTAAATTTTCACATAAATAGCAACAAAAACATTTTCTTGAAAGGTCTCAACTACATCCAACGAAAGCTTGCCAAGACAATTCCAGCAAGTGTTGAAATTGTAAAGTTGAATGAAAATGAATATTCCTTCAACACAATTCTTCCTTTTAAAACTCACCAACAAAGATTTGTTCCTGGTGAAGAAATTGAACAAACAACGGTCGATGGACGAAAAGTTAAAAATATTTTCACAATCGAGGGAAATAAACTAATTGAACATCAATTTGAACCAAATCGACAAGTATCAATAATCAGAGAATTTACTGACAAAGAGATGGCTGGAAAAACAACTGTCGGAAATTCTTTTGGTGAAGTAACTAACAAGCATTGGAGCAAAGCTCAAGAATCATGAATGATTCACGTTTTGTATTCATGTCATGAAATAAATTTATTAATATTCAATTTATTCAAAATCTAAATGGACATTTGTTTCAATTTTTTGATTTGATATTTTAATAGTAAAAAGTTTGTGTGGGTGGATTTATATTAAAACTTTTGAATCAAAAATCATTTCAACATTAAGTTCATGAGATTTTCTTTCAAATTTCGATGATGATTTTCTTTTACCGGTTTCTAGGTAGATTGATCTGACGTTATCATTTTCATCATGCCCCTGAGTTGAACTTCATAAAGTCATGATAATATTTGGCAACGCAGCGTTGTTCTTTTTTCCAGTACATTTCTTTGTGTCTTGGAAGTCCCCAGACATGGTTTGCAGACATTTTTCGATATCTGTGAGCACCTCTGGGCAAGGCACTTAATTTATTATTTATTGGCCAATGTTTTGTATATTTTAAAAACAATTCTTTTGATTAAAAACATTAAATGGTTTGAAAACAAAGTTACTCTTATACTTTTT